GTGGAGGTGGGGGAATGATTAACAAAATCAGTCCTCAGGCAAACTGGGAATATCCCCTCACCCAAGTTTAGGATATTCCACCATTCTTCAGCAGAGTTTATTTTCCTTTGAGAAAAATAAGTGGCTCACATATATGTACAGTAAGCTTTAATAATACTGTAACAAAATAACATAATGAGAGAAACGAAATACGGCAACATGAGGCAAATCTGAGGCAAGAGGCAAGAAGAGGCAGTTGGTCCCTCTTAACTGACATTCTTAATGGAACACACATTGAAGTGAGGGGCTGATTCTGGAGCGAAACACACAGGCCCCACCCACCAGATACCAAGCACTCTACTATTCAGATTAGGCCCTGGTGTTTTTCTTACAGATATGCCTCAGGAATTTCATCTAGCTAGAGACCCACATGCAGAAATCTGCTTCTATGCATGTATGGTTTTAAATGAAGCAATAGATTTCGTGGGCTTAAATGTGCTTCACCATTGTGGCCAAAAGGTATAAATAAATGGCAGAACAGCCAGGCAATCTATAAATACATTGCACTTTTCACGTATTGTGTCACCGGTTGAACATCACTAGGAGAAAATGTTCTGTCTCAAGCTGTAACTATCTCTGATGATGCCTGAGAGGAAAGAAAGGGGAAAGTGGTTCCATCTTGAAAGATTACAGGAAACCAGAGATGAGTGTAAGAGATTGAACAGCTCTGTTGCTAGGTTATGGATTGTTTTCTTACGACAACAGTGAACTTGAATACTAATACTGTGCATTAATATAGCAGCTTGGCTCATTCTGAACAAATATATGTAATATTGAACTGTGGAATATTCTAACATTTCACGGAATCTATTCTAGGACAATTCAACAAACATGCACATATAATTCCTGTAATTGTGTCAAAGAAGTTCCATACCCTGGAGTGATCTCTATGCACATAGTCAGCAATGGGAATATTATAAAATGTTTAAGAGCAGTTTCTGTTCAGTTTAATTTCCTCTGAGAAGCAGTTTTGGAGATTGTAAATAGATTTACTAAGGTTGAGCTTCACCTGTCTCCTCACCATATTCAGGCATGGACTTTACATGGAACATATATAGGCCATTTCAAATGCCTATATTGAAATTGCTAGGAAGCCGCACATTGGCAACTGGGGATTTGGTCAGGGTAGTGGTGGACCTTGGGGTCTCAAAAATTAGTGGCATCCTGTGTGATGCCAAAAATTGCCCCCCCCACCTCTCACACTCCATTCTAAATCATAGTTGTGGCATCCCCTGCATCGCCCCCAAGGCTCTGCGCTCCCAGCGTGACCAAACCAGTCACACTCCCCTAAACCCATCTCTGGTCAGGGCTTGTTTTTCAAAAATTGTAAGAATTAGAAACTTGGAGATCCCAGTAGATTTTATTTTATATTATTTTAATCTTGTATTGTGAACTGCTTTGAGAGGACGGTGGTTCAGAAAATAAACATAAGAATCATTTAAATAATACAAATGAACAACCTAAGGGAGTTATTCATTATGCAACCCACTGATGGACTCACTATAATGAAGAGACAGTTGTAACTGAAACTTTCTACACACTTAGGGCATGTGTACGTTAGTGGCTTTAAAAGCAGTGAGATAATTCACCCCTTGCATTTGAAGTCCAGAGTTTTACATTGATATACTGTATGCAATATTACTGATTTGTTTTCCCCCACCTGCAATGTCCCCGCCAAAAAAACTCCTATTCAATGGAGCTGTCGTGTAGGCGTGTGCAACGCCTCACCTTAACCACAGTTTACGTTTTCAAATCAGTTGCGACCTAGTTTGAGGGGAAGTGCATCAGACAAGAGTGTTTCTTAAGAAACTAAAAGATCAGGCATAGGCAAACTCGGCCCTCCAGATGTTTTGGGACTACAACTCCCATCATCCCTGGCTAACAGGACCAGTGGTCAGGGGTGATGGGAATTGTAGTCCCAAAACATCTGGAGGGCCGAGTTTGCCTATGCCTGTACAAGATACTGATATACTCGTGCTGTAGCAATATCAAACACCAGCAGTGGGAGAACACTGGAGCTGGAGTAAGCGGTAAGGTGCACACAGCCTTACTTCTGAGTAGACCTGGATATAGGATTGCACTGTTGTAGTGTCAATGCCATCGCCAGACACAAGTTCTAAATGTCTATTGACATATTAGCAGAATTTCAGTGTTTACTTCTGTAAAACTGAATAAAGCCATTTTTAAAAGCCATAGGCAGGAAAGTTAACATTTTAAATCAGAATGCATATTACTGTATCATTTATAATATTTTGGCAGCACTGTCTAAGATGTTGGGACACATGATGGACATGGAGACAACTGAGGGAGGGTACAAAATTTTCACCCTTCCCACTCAGTTGAACTAGATGGGCTTTATTATGCTGTTGTTGTTGTTGCTTAGTCATGTCCGACTCTTCGTGACCCCATGGACCAGAGCATGCCAGGCACTCCTGTCTTCCACTGGCTCCTGCAGTTTGGTCAGACTCATGCTGGTAGCTTCGAGAACACTGTCCAACCATCTCGTCCTCTGTTGTCTCCTTCTCCTTGTGCCCTCCATCTTTCCCAACATCAGGGTCTTTTCCAGGGAGTCTTCTCTTCTCATGAGGTGGCCAAAGTATTGGAGCCTCAGCTTCATGATCTGTCCTTCCAGTGAGCACTCAGGGCTGATTTCCTTAAGAATAGAGAGGTTTGATCTTCTTGCAGTCCATGGGACTCTCAAGAGTCTCCTCCAGCACCATAGGGCTTTATTATAGACAGCTGAAAATCCTACACAAGTTAAAATGGCGGGGGGGGGGGGAATGCAGCATTTGTATATGTAGGCCAGAATGTGTACATCACATTCCTATATCAGCAGACTGCAGCAGCAAACTAACTTCTACGTATATAAATATAGCTTTAAAGACAGCATTTCCTGCTGTGCCAGCATGTTGCTATGTAAAACACTCAGGGATGGCCTCCAGCACAGTGGCCTGTTCTAAATATTTTCTTTCACTTCAGGGAAGCTTTTCAAAACCTTCAGAGCTGCTCCAGCATCTGATTGATGCTCCAAGCAAATTTCTTCAGCCCAGTTGTTGTTTCTGCTCAGTACCCATGTGCTGCTTCAAGCATGATAGGTGGTGCACATTCAGTAAATAGAAGGGGAATTCTTGTTAAGGGTACCTGCTTCCTTGGGGCAGGGGAGAAAGGAAATTCCTTTAGGGATTAATTGTTTCACAAGGAAATGAAGGGAGTGAAACATATTTTCATGTGTGTCAAGTCCCATTTTTGTAACTTGACTTCCTGCTTTACAGTCTTTAGAGCTTGTTAAAAGGGTACTAAATCTTACCTTCCCAAATGTGTGGATTCTTCAAATCATGGCAAGCAGTCTAGTCAGATGCAGAAAGAAGATCCATTGAACACAAAAGGGGACTTACTCTCAGACAAGTGTTCACAGGACATTAGCTTTAGCTGACTAGTTAGGAGAATTTACACAGAACATTTTACAATTCTTACAACAATGGAAAAACCGTTAGTTTTGTGCACCTTTTAAAGGATTTTATTTCCTAACAATATGTTCTGAAATTGTCAAGCAATTGCAAGTAGTTAAGAAGTGTTAATTGCAACTGCATGTAAGCTAAAAGGAGCGAGCCAGCAGTAAATCACACTGAGCAAGTTGGAGTTAACTCTTTATTAGCAAAAACAGGATCTGCACAGTATTCGGCCTAATGAGGACAGCAACTCTTCTCTAGCAGGTCTGGCCTCCATGAAGCAGTTGTTGAGACTGAAGGTCCCCTCTTCTCTAGGGTTTTCCCCAAGCAATCTGAGACTGTGCCTGCATGAAGCTAACTTCTCCTCTGTCCTCTTCATGGCTCTCCTGGTTTTGGGTGACCGAGGGAGGAGGGGAGCTCATCAGAGCAGGAGGAGCCTGTGCCTCTTCAGCAGCAGAACTTACCTCTGCCTCTTGGCATCCCTCTTCTGCTTCAGCTTCTGCCTTTGGTTCTGGATTTGTCTGCCACAGATTTCCACTGCTCACCAAACCCTGTTACGCTTTCAGCTTCTGAAATGTCCTCCCAGTCTTCTCCCTCTGACAACTCACCATTGTCCCACCACCAATCCCCTGGCTCTGAGCCTTATTCATTGGGAGTCCCCACCTGGTGCCTCCTAGCATTCCTCTGTGTCGAACCAGTCTGTGACATAAACAGTTAAGAACAGTTAAGTCTAGGAAACACGAGTTTCCATTTTATTGTTTCATCCAAGAAAGCGTGTCTGATATCAGATTTGAAGATCAGGATTTTTAGTTTAATACTTCATCCCTGTAACCCACATTCCATTCTAATTTCCCACAATGCATTGCTTTGGGACACTGGAAAATTTAAATGGCATTGCTCAGTAGCTCTTCTGTTATGTTCTAGAATTAGAGTGACAGTAAGAGCAACAATGAACAGTGTCCACAGGAGAAAAGCAAGCACTCACTTTCAGATAGAGGAGTAAATTTAGAAATGCAAGAAATCCCACATTCCCTAGGCCTGCAAGCCTCAAAATACACTTACTCAATGAGCTGTCTCATTGAGATCAAAAAGATGACTGCTCATCTTTATCTTTAGAAGCTGCTTCCTTATGTCTCTATGCCACACTATGAGCTGTTGTGCTCAGGGTATGTCAGTGACAGAAAGTAGACAACTGTTTTGGAGTTTTTCAACCTTTTCTCCCCAGCTCAGAACCTAGCTTTGAAAGGAAGAGGGGGGGAAGGAGGTAACAGGTATGTACAGATGGCAATTTAAGGTAGATTTTATGCATCCTACGTGTGCATGCTTTCCGAGTCGCCCACACAATGTCCTCATCTTAGTGGCAGCCTACACTCCCTCCGTTTAATTCAGTTTTTTCCTGATACATGGATAATGCAGTAATTGGCAGGGGGGACCTCCAACATAAAATGTAACGTTATCTGAATGTAGATGCAGTGAAGCACCTTGTGTGGGTAGGTTTTTCTTTTTCTTTTTAAGTGTGATGTTCAGCTGGATGCTGTTAATCACCTTCCCCTCCACTTGCTTGTTGCAGACCATAACCAACCATTCTGTTTGTAACAGCTGCAAAGAAAGAAGCATGCTTATTTCCACTGCTTGTTGATGATGGGACATGCTGTGTGTGTGTGTGTGTGTGTGTGTGTGTGTGTGTAAAACAGCCCTTTTGTGCAGAACTGCTTTTCCATTGTACTGAATAGGGACAAATTTATTTATTTTTTAATTGGAAAAAATGGGTGTTTCTTTCTGAACCATAAAGCAAAACTGAAAGGTGCTAAGACAATCCATCAAGAACTGTGACAAAAGGTCTGCAGCTCAAGACTTGGGCTTCGGGACTGGCCACCAGCGATTTTCCTACTGATCCAGCATTTAGAATGTTCCTCCCTGTTCTAGGGAATTAATTATCACAAGCAGGTTTTACTTCACCTCCTACTTAGGGCCTTAGGGTCCAATTAATGTATCTGCCTGGCTATTTGAATGGCAACAGTGGAAGGGTGGCTATACAAGCTGCTTGTGTGAATTGTCTTGCCAAATGGCACAGTCATTTTAGCAAACTCAAATTCCCTCCATCCCTCCAGCTGGGAACAGCATAAGCTAAACTGAACCACAGAGACGCTTCTTTACACAGATGACTTGCCATAAGGATTTGCCTTGATGTGATTGCAGTGCCACGTGGCCACACACACTGCAGAGTGCCACCGCAAACTGGGTCTACAGTGCCCTTTGTATGGAGCAGAAGGGAGGACTGGAGACACCTGTGATGACAGAACATTGGGCAAGAGTTTGGGTGAAGGAGCAGTTCTTTATGTGGAACTGCTAACTATTATAATAGTGATTTTGCTTCAGGCTTGGTTGTGGACTGAAGACGATGGGCTGTGTTACTGCATCTTGGGAAATATGTCGTGCAAATTGCAGTAATCACAAAATGGATTGTTAATTTGTACAGAACAGTACGGTTCACACAAATGGCACCAGCCAAACTGAGTGCAGTTGTACTATGAATCCCAACCGTATCCCCACTCAAAGTGCATTTGCATGTGGGCTGTTAGCAAGTGTGAATCAGTCCTTAGGAAGCAGCTTGTAGGATACATTGCATACGCAGTTATACTTACTAGCGTAATACTCATATTACAGAATAAAAACAGATTCAGCAACAATGTTATTTCATTCTGCTATTACATGTATTTACCATTTGTTCACAAAAAATACAGCTCTCTCTTGCTTCCCCCAACGTTTCATTGGGTTCCAAATAAACCTGAGTTGATAGTTCAAGTTAGTATTTGCAGGACATTCAGGTACAGAAGTCTGAAGCATGCACAGAACGGTATGCTGATTATTAGTGCCTTAATATTGTGTTCTATGGGGAAATGCCACCAATTATATTTTATAACTTCACAAACATCAGTGGTGTATGGGTCCTTATCAGAATATTTGGGGTTATTTTGAAGACACTACTTGAAATACTGAGAGGTTTTTCAGAAAGCATAGTTGAAGCACACACAAAACATGCCACAATCCCATTTCAACAAGGTATTTTTTGTTTACATTAAGCAGCGTTGTAAACTTGATTAAACTTACAATGCAGCTTGCTTTGTCTAAGAGCGGTTATGTGGATAAAAATGTAAATGAAACCATCCAGTGGCAGGGATAGTAGAGGTTCATAATGTAGTAGTTTCTGGAACACCATGACCTTTCAAAATTCATCTCTGAAGTCTGAAAAACCCTTAATTGTGTGAAGTCAAGTTCAAAAGGGCTAGAACAATCTCAGGCAGCTGAAATTGGGTGGTGCTGGCTAAGAATATGGGCATTTCTCCCTGTTTTTCCCCCCGGAGACCAGCTGCACATGAACATGCCCGCACATGGTATGTGCTTACAATTTTTTTCTGGCACACAGTAGGATACTGTTCTTTCATGGTGAGGAATCTGAAACGTTTTCAGCCATTCAGGCCTATGCCAATGCGGATGTTCATTTGACACAAGCACACTGCACATTGTTTCAGCCTGGCCTGCTCCCATACTTCTCCTTGGGCCTAGTTTTCACAAAGAGCAATGTATTAAAACTTGCACAAGTTCAGGCTATGCATGAGCTTAAAAGCAGGCACAGTCTTCTCTTGTTTGTGCTAAACGATGGCTTTGCTTAGCATTACATGTGAATCGGTCAGTTTGTACAGTTGGATATAACATGGCACTTGTGAAAATTCAGTGATCTGGACTTTAAACTGCAAGGTAGTCAGTGGCACTGTTACTGGATTAAGGTACCACTACCTTTGAAGCAGAAACAATTGTTCTCATGCATAAACCTATTCCTAAGATGGTGTTACAACCAATGGGTGCTTCTACTTTGGATGTACTCATGCACAAGCAGGTGGATCCAATTTCAAGATGGCTGCAGCCAAAGAACTGCTAGTGCTCCTGACATCCTGTCCACTGCTGTTCTTCAATCCTAACCTTTTAAGAAATATTTGGTGCTGAGCTGAGATTTTATGTGTATCAACAGAATCTCAGCGGGAAAAACCTGATTATCTGATCTCGGGGTTTCTTAAAGAAGGCATCAAAACGACTCAGAAACATACCTTTAAAAACAATCTCTCAATAATTCCCCCCACCCAAAGCACTTATTCTGATTTGTCTTTTATAAAGGCATTAACATCTAGATACTGTGTATGCTAAAGAAGAGGGGAAGCACATAAACCATTAGTGACAATCTGCCACCGTGCTAGTCTAATGTTAACAACTATCAGCAATCCTGTATACATAACATGTGCTAGCAGGGAACAGGTAAACCATAGAATAGTCTTTGGTTAAAACCCTGTAAATTAATAGCAAATTATTTGCACAAACCCCTATTTTCTTATTCAGACATTTTCTTTACTGTGAAATAAAAAGAGCTGCAGAGTACAGAACATGTTTGCCTTTTACGAAAGTTAATCACAGTTCGTAGCACTACTAAATTTTTGATGACAACTGCATTACCATTCCTGCCATTTGCAAATGGCACTGGAGCTAGCAGATGTGTCCTTTGATAACTCTTCTGAATGCAGTGCAGAGTTTCTCAGCAACACTTTCAAGTATGTCCAATGCTGTTTTGCTAAAACTGAAAGTATACAATTTTTCTAAAGGCAGTTTCACAGAAATGGCATAGCTATACAGATGACCGGGTGTTTGTTTTTTTAAAGCACAGCATTTAGAAATATGGGCTATTGTCTCATGATGAGGAGGAAAATGTGAACAAAGATTTCCTTACAGTCAAACTAGTTCTGAGATGATCATGTCTCTTATAGTAGCATCTCTTAACAAATGAACATTTCCTTTAGGAAAAATATAGAATGATTTTAGGTGTTTTGGAATTATTAGACAGTAAAAACTGCTTCAGTTATTAGCATCTTGCTCTGGTTTTTGTGCTTTTATGCCAAGTCCTTTCAGGTCTGTTTCTTCTTCATCTGTACATGACTGAAGAGAGCACATTTGCTTCAGAAATATGAAAAAACTTAGTTTTCCTGTTTTTGAGTAATACGAATGGTGCTTATGCCTGTGAAACAGAGAACTATTGCCTGACAAGTACATCAACCACAGCTTTACAAACCAGAGGGCAATTCAACAAATTCTTCTTTCACTGTCCAAGCAAGTTGTTAGGTCCAGTGGTCTGTTGTTGACATAAACTTATGTGCAATATTAGAACACAGCCAAAAAGTATCTGCTTGGCAAGATTACACAGATCTTCAAAAGTAAGTCTTTACATCACTTGAAATATTTGTCCTTTCCCACCAATGACACTAGTCTTAGGCCACTGAAATATGTGGCCTTGTGATTTCTTTATTGAATGTGATAACAAAATACACAGGAAAAAACATTTCACTACTTCTATGGGAAAGTCCCAGAAAACAGCACTACACAAATTTAGGTTTTCAGAAAAGTCACCTCAGCACTGGCCATTTATAGGGTCCATTATATTGAATGAAATTTGTGTTGGGCTCATTTGCTGCAGCTGAGGCATTCTTGCTTCCAGCGTCTTCTCTGTTGGTGACCCTACTGACTGATTCCTTTTCCGCATCATCTGTCCAATACCCATCATGGGGAACCGACCTCTGCTTTTCACACAGTTAGGGCTCCCCAGAGGATTAGAGACATTATTTAGCTGGGTTGGAGAGACAGCTTCCTCTCTAAAAGAACTGCTCTTTTCGTCATATGTGAAGGACAGTTGAGTAGGATGAACTGGACTTTTAGTAGGACTGGGAGAAGTTCCCCCTGGCTGGAAGAGCGGAGACAATGTCCTTTCACTGGAACTTCTCCGACCAAAATTGACTGGTGAGCTTAGCATTCGATACTGATGCGTGGGAGAAATTTGGTCTATTTGGTCCTCTCTGTCGCCGGTTTCAAAAGAATGCACAATGTTCAGAATTAAAGGAGAATCCAAATTCTGGCTGCCAGGGCTTGAGGGCTCTTGCTGAGGCGAATCTTGCCGCTTGGTAAGCCTTGGGGTCCTTGGAACAGGTTGCTGGATTTCAAGGTATTCCAGAGAATAGGAGGTGACACAACCTGTCTTGGCTGTAGCTGATTCATGGAAGGGGCTCAAGCCACTAGGAGAATCTACAAAACAATTTTTTAAAAGAGTCAAGAAAAACCTTTCATGGATCCCCCCTCCCTGAGACAAGGCCAGCTATAAGTCATCAAGTGAGAAACTGCCTGAGTGAAATTCAAATCCTAAACATAAACATACCCCCAGAACAATACAGTAAATACAAGTTTAATCCAAAATGTGTTTTCCCTTAAGGTGTGTTATCCTGCTTATTCCTTCTCTACTTTGTCTTACACTTTGCCTGCCTGCCCCATCAGAAAGCTAACCTTTCTACTATTCTCATTTCTCTGTTCTGTCAAGGCTGTCAACCCCCTTCTCTCCCCCCCGCCCAAGGGAATCTGTGGTCATGTCCCTTCCCAAGCTAATCAAACTTAAACCATTATCCGGGACAGAAAGAAAGATAACTGTGCACTAAGAAGTTTGAATAGAGGAAGGAATCTTATCTGAAAAGCCAGTGATGATTCAAACATACTGGAAGTCAGGAAACAGAACATTTCAGAGCATGCAATTATCCCCAAACAAATTTGTCTTTCTGGGATGCATCTTGATGTTGAGTGCTGTAAGTCAACTGCTATTTCACAACTTATGCAGCAGTGAATGTGTATTTAAAACTGCCCATGCATGATGTGGCTAAATGTGACTCACTGATATGTATATCTGTGCAATACACCTAGTTACAAATACATGCTTTCTGAGTTTATAATGTACAGTTTTATATTTACATGTAAACAATATTAAGTGTACGTGCAAAAAATGTAAAATATGGAATGGAGCTCTGCTAAAACCATGCTCTTAACAGCTATTCTTTGTTATGTTTGTGAATGGCCTACAGCACTAAAATGAATTATAAAATCAAATGGCAGAAAAAGAATATGAGTGTGGACCAAGACCAAACTTAAATACCATCCCATGCCTCTTGTGGAACAGTTTACATGACAGGTCTCCTGTCATGGCTTCCCCAGGGAATTCTAAGATGGTAAGAGTCCTGAGAAAATATCATCACCCTCATCAGATTACAAGTCCCAGAATTCAAATATTCTATACCCCCAACTCCCTGCCACAATTAGGATTCCCTAGGGAGAGATAGTATGTGTTAAACAAGTTGATGGCTGTTATCCTATGCATCCTTACCGGGGAGTAATCCCACTGAACACAGTGGGACATATACCCGAGTAAAGATGAACTGAGTCACACTAAAATGCTGCAAGCCTATATGCATTGACCTGGGAGTAATTCCTGAACACAGCAGGGCCAGCTTCTGAGCAGATATGTACAGGATGGCAGTGAAAGTCTGTGATATACCCTAATTTTCTCTGATCTGCAACTTACAAAGCAAGTCTAGATCACATCAAGAAAGATGTGGAAAGATGGCTCCACTTACCTTTCTCTGGTGCACCACCCTGGGTAGCTTTGTGATCATTCAGCAGAGCTTTTGTAGTCTGTATCTGTGTCAGAAGGCAGGTAGGAGGTTCTTTGTAAGTGGGGGAATTTTTCTCTGATTTCTTCAGAAGCGGGTGAAGAGGCTCTTCCTTCGTTTCCTGTTCCTTGACCTTTTTGTCCTTCAAATTTAAAAGCACATAAACAAAAACGGTTTGGTTTGTTGGAATCTGCTTTAGAAAGCTTCAAAAACAGGTGAAGTAAAAACACTGCTTCTTAACAGCATTCCAAGTTTGAAAAGGCAGCATTAAGTTAATGGAAGCAAGTTCATCAGGCTGGAAAAGGCGCCCCAGCCCTGTTTTGGGCCTAGCAACCTTATGTCCCCTTTGGATCCCTCTCCTTCCTGCGAGTAGTGCAGTTCCAGTAATTTGCCACCGTGTGACTTTCTTATATCTTCTTTCTCCCAAAACGCAATTCATGTGTCTGTACATGGAGGTTTCATATCATACCAGTAATAGAACTAGGATGGGAAAGTAGGAGCAGCTTTGGTTGGGTGGAGCAGAAGGAAAACATCCTGGGAGGTTGGTGGGATTTACAGCACCTCAGGTCTTGGGCTGTACCACCCACCACCGACAGGGATGAACACAAATTGATGGTGCATCAAGCTAATCATCGTAAATAATTGGCCAAGAAGTGAAAACTATGTGACCCCCCAACTGCTATTGAAAATTGAAGGATTCCAGAACACCAAGGTTACAATCTGACACCCAGATTTATAGAAGAGGATACCCAGGTTTCGTATGCTCCGAGATGAAAATAAGGAGCATCCATCAACAGCCTTGAAATCTAGCACTTGGTAGCGATTGGCATGTTATCAGCTTATGTGTTTAGCTCTGATTGCACAGGGAAGGATGCTAACTGAAGTTCAGCAAACTGTCAGACTAGAAGCTATGACAGCATTACAAAGAATTACCTAGGATTAATAACAGTTGGTATAATATTTTATGTAGCACTTTCAATGTAAAGCATGCTTTACAATTTTTATCCAATCCATCCTCATGACAAGTATTGGATATTGGTCACTATGATTCCCATCACTCAGATGGTGACACAGACATGCCTCACCAAAACCACTTGCACTTTGGATTCTGGTATCTAGTGGACAGAAGAACCTTCTTTTGCATTTGTTTTTCCCATTATTAAAATGATGCGGAAGAATTTTCTGCAAAGTGCAGGAGGACCCTAGGAGCTGTCTGGCTGCATCTCCATAGTAACGCTCTGATGCGCTTTCATGTATCTCTTACGTTCAGAAAAGCTCTTTGCAAGTGGATGTCCGTAGCTGCAAGCTCGGCTGAAAAGGATGTTTTGTCTGGCTGTAGTAGCTGAAGAACACTGAGATGTGTGTCTCGTTCACATGTCTGTATCAAATGAAATTACGAGGGGCCCTTAAGACATGCTACCAACAACTGCTGGTTTCAACTACATACATGTGCTGATGATAAAGTTTTGCAATAAGCCAGAACATGAGACACAATGGAAATTGATTCCCCCTCCCCCCTGGCATAATTATTAAATCTTTATATGATCAAATATCTTAGGAGTCACACACTTTCTATTAGTTTTTGATTCTATCCATTTGGGCTGGGTGTATGTGCATGGGCACACATATTTCTGTATGTGTATATGTATGTATCTCTGTAGGTATCTGTTGTGTCTATATATAGATGTACATATATGTCTACATACAAAAACACACACATACACGCCAGCAAATGATTTTGAAAAAATGTGAAGCAAAAATATTTACTGGCCCAATTAATTTAATAAAAACACAACATCACAATTAATACCATGGTTTTAACAGCAATCTTCGAAAAGTATTCTTTTTTTTTTTTTGCAAATATTGCAAGTTAAATTACAGCTGTGAATGTTCACATCAGTCGAGTTACAGAAGCAGAAGCAGGATGAGCTCTGCTCTCCTTCAAGAACAGAGAAGGAAGAAAGTGGCTGCATTTCTGGACTGTTGCCAGAGAGAAGCTATGTCCTAACCTGGTTGCTAAACAACACCGAATTGGAGGTTGACTTCTAAAGCAAAATATCTATTTTGTTGTTCAATGAGCTATGACGGTTCATTGTTTTTAAGGTCTTTTTATTGTATTACTTCTATGAAACAATAGAGGGGCAATTCCCAAACAAAGCAAAAATGAAAGGAGAGCTAATAATTAGATTCATGAATTAAAATTTTCTGGTGCCCTGCTATATTGTCCAAATATTTAGTATTCAAATATTTAGTATTCAAATATTGCCTGATATAGACTCCATCCCCTGGGATGTGTGCACCACCAACTCTGTGTATCCTTACATCAGCTTTGCACCTCCGTACAATTGCCCTGTATGATCAGCACACTCTCTCTGAGCCGGAGCCAAAGAGCTGGATTATGGCTCTTGTGATAAATACATGGCATCAAATACAATGGTTCCACTTAGGTAAGTAGGGGGCAATTAGGGAACATGGCATTACAGCAAATGTTGGTCAAAGTGTTCTCTGCCACTGAATTATTCCTTAAACAGAATCTGTTTTGGGAAATGCTGAAATCGCTCTAAATGAAAATAACAAGCTGTGGTGCAGCATTAGCAATAGCTTAGCAGTTGCTACTTTAAAAAAGAAAAGAAAAGATATCAACAGCATCTATTGTCGACTTGTATTGACTTTGTTTCTAAAAATGGGGATAGTATTATTTCCATTTATTGATTGATTGATTGATTGATTGATTGAATGAATTTATTTATTGAATTTATATCCCACTCCTCCCTGAGGATATATTCAGCATTTGCCAAACTGGATTACCCCATGTTGCCTTGGCATGTTTTGCAGTGAGTCATATGGTAAGTTTCTCTTGCACAGCCATCCTTCAAGAGACCTCTGGGCATGACTTTTTGTTTGTACTCTTTGTTGAACCAAAGTTGAAATAACAGTCAAGGGAAATGCCCAAGTATTGCCTGGTTCCAAATAATTGTAACCTGGTTTACCTCGTAGGTGTCCTTGTTTGACTTGTATTTTTCTATCCGACACCAATGGTTCATGTACACATTATCGGGAGCTTCTGTCTTCTGGAAGGATAAATAATAATTGTAAGGTATTTGTGGGGAGAATTAGAGCACAGATTAGTTCAAATACTTGTTTAAAAGAATTGCAATCACTACTTCCACTCTAAATATTGGGGTGGCCAGACTGGAATCTACTGGTGGGTAGGTAGGTGATTTGCATAGTTTGGCAAGTTCTGGGTTAAGAGCATCAACATCTAAAAGGCTTCCTCCCTATTCTAAATTAGGCTGCTGAAATACAGAATGACTCATAAAAAGCCAAGAGTGGAGTTTTGACCTGGGCTGAGCATGTGGTTAGTACTACTTTGCGTTCTGAAAATATGTCCTTTCCCAGAGTCACTATTTTGCACCTGGTTCTTCCTCCTCAGGACATTAGTGGGGGAAAATCAAGTAGATCCCACAAGCCTGAAGTCTGCCCTCCTCAGTTATTATTTGACAGTATAGTCTAACAAAATTACAATCTTGTAATTGTCTAGTAACAGGTTAAGCCCAAATATCCATGGTAGGTAAACGGGTATAGGACTGTAGCCTCAATCTCACAATTATTTTACTTCAGAAATTGCTGTAAATAAATAGTCAGCTATAGATCTTCTTAACATGCTTCCCTCCCAAATAGAATCATAACTAGGGATGCATTTAACAATTCTTGTTACTCACAAAAATAATCACCTTCAGGTAAAACGGAAACCAATCAGATGTTGGTAAACAAGCACTAACCATGGGAATTAAATTATTTTAAAAATGCAACCAGTTTCCTTGATGCTTGAACTGGAAAGCCTCTAGGGCGTCCAAATTCTCTTTTAAACAAGAAACACCCAAAAGGCAGAGGGCTTACAAGCAACTTCCTCATTAACTGCACCTCTACCTACTTTAACAGAAAAAGAGTCAACCATCATGTAGATCAAAAGGACAGGCTAACAATTCCTTCCTGATAATTTTTATATAGCTCTGAGGTAGCACTGCTGGGAGTTTGGACTTTTCAAAGAAGACAGAGATAACAGAGGAAAGTGCTCTTCATTATTGATGGAACCTTCCTCGTATGGAAGAGGATAAAGACTGGGCTCTCTCAAAGTGTGTCACAGGTGACAGCTACAATCCATTTCTTTAATCTAGGAGTTTCAGATTGAGGTGACAGTAACTGAGTTATTGTGCTGGTGTTCACTGTCTGATAGAAATCTATCATGGTCACAGAAGGCTGGCGAGTGATTTTCTACAGGCTCACAAAGCAACCTGGTATCACAGCAAGTTATTAAGATGATAGCTATTTCACTTTGAGCAATGTAACCAGCTTCTGGTACACCAAATTGCTTTTATGAACTAGTTCTGATACTTTGGGTGTGATAGCGATGCAGAAGAAAAAAAGATTATTTAGACTGAGATGTTCTGAGGAGAAAATGTAAAAAGGAATGAATCTAGCAAAAATAAAATCAATATCCCCCCCATGCAACTCTTGCCTATAAGATGACAACATGTGAAGAGCAATTCTAACAAAGAGCCCAGGTAGTGCAGGGCAATGGACTCAACAATACATCTGCAGCCCTGCTGGAAGGGTGGAGTGTAGGGTTGTTGTTGTTTATTGTTGTTGTACCAGCACCATGTTGGCGCAGCTGAGGGGCTTGAGGATGGGGACCACTTGTGGATCCTTAAGGCTTTGGATCTAGTTTCGGAGTTTTCTACCTGGCTAGTAGCCGCCTTCTCAGTTAGCAGAGGCCAGAGGAGACACAAGGACTCACCATTCTAACCACACACACCCCAACAACATGTGGGCTTAGCATTCTGGCCTCAGTACGTTAAACGGCTATATCAGTTAAAAATCTGTCCAAAAAGTTGCTTCCAAATAATTGTCTTACACACACACACACACACACACACACACACACACAATTTGTTAGTACAGGTATGACAAAACCTGTGAACGGCAGGTACAATTTTGAAAAGGTACTCTTCCCCTCCCCTTTTGCACTTAAATTCAAACTTATATCAGTTTTTTAAACTGATTGATCAACTAATACTCTTATGATGAATTAAGGTTTTTGTTTCCAACATAGGGGACAGCCCCAAAATGACAGTTATTGCTACCTCTAAGAGTAAACTCAGGTGCCGAGTGCCAAAATGACGTGGCCACCGAGAAACAAGAGGGCGGTATCAGAAGGCTCCGTGAAACCCTGACATTTGCAGAAATACAAATTACAACTGTTTAAAAAATCTTCTCTCTTTTAACCACCCCCACTGCCCTTTATAGCTTATAATCTCTTGGAGGACATGGCTACCTGGTTGACAGCAGGGGCATCATTGCCACTTACCTGGATGTTGCAGGAGCAGCAAGTGAAGTCAAGGCAGTGTGGCAAACTGGCAAGAGTGCCGGGACTGGCTTTGTCGGTGAGCCTGTGCTGACTGACCTTGCTGCTGCTCTGCCCTGGTAAATGGCAATGCTACTGCCGCCGCCGCCGAGAGACTGGCTCTGCCTCCTCACCTCTTACACTGGAGACCCCACTTGTAACTAAGGCTGCATACACACTATGCCTTTAAAGCACATTCAAAGGGCATTTCCCCCCTCAAAGAATTCTGGGTTCTGTAGTTTGCTATGGGTTACTTTGAATTTCAACTGAGAGAAGTAAACTACAGCGTCCAGAATTCTTTGAAGGTAACAAACTGTGGAAGATTGGCAGATGAAGATGATGGATTTTTTGGAGCTAGCCGACCTGACTGGAAGAGTCCACGACCAGAAGGAGGGGGATTACCAGGAGGAATTGATGAAATTTAAAGACCATTTAGTTAAATATATTAAGTTAAATTAATTGGAAAAGCTTGCAAATACCAGATAGGCTTAGGATCTAAATATGTAATGTGATAAATTAATATGTTGAAATGCCGAATGGGAATGAAAGAAAGATGCTAAGTGATTAAGTTAATTTTATGAGAATATTGGTTTTGGAAAACCGTTAAAATGATATACACTGAAATTCAACCAGGGGGATACAAGGAAGTCATTTAACAATGTCAATAAGATTGGTTTAAATAAGGTTATGATTTACGTTTGTTTGTTTGTTTATTTGTTTTAAAATTTCTGGAAAATCAATAATTTAAATTTTTTTTAAAAAAAGAAGGGTGCTTCGAACATGCTTTAAAGGCATAGCGTGTATGCAATTTACCTAACTTAGCAAAACAGTCCCTATATTAGGGGGAAATTCATACTTTTGTTGTATATGCATTGTCAAAGCAACAGTCAGTGGCGGATCATAAAATCTCTGTCCCACCACCATGAAACTTCCCCCTGATGTCCATGGGAATTCTATGCAGGAAGTGAATGCAAAGAATGGAACAGATATATGTCCTGAAGGAAAACAAGTAATAAAGATTTATTGCATGAGGTCATAGGCGAGAACTGTTTTGTTTAAGTGGCTTGTGCTGTGAGCTAAAAGGGCACACAGAGGTCAAGAAATGCTCTATAGGCTTTTACTTTCCAGTGCCACTTTTAAAAATAACAAATAAACTAAAATCACTAGGTTGCTTTGCCTTGCTCCCAACTCACAGAGCACATCGTATTACTCCTTGCTCTTACTTCCTGCATTTTAAGGACAGTTTTAAAATAGCGCTATGCCTTTGCTATCATAATAAAGACACTATAATGCTACGAGAACCTGCTTGGAGTGAGCTCTTTCTCCAAGGTTATAAAATTAAACTCTTCTCTGTCGCAAAATTAATGCAAAGTGTGTTGTCTCCTTAAAGAAAAATATAAACACGATTCCTCCTAACTTTTAATACATCATTAAATAGTTAATCATGCAGATTTTCTTCTGACTGAATTAACTTCCTTGTAAAAGTCCATGTGATGAACCATCATCAGTCAAGTATCTATCTTTCAGTTTAGCCCACACTAGAAACGAGGACTGCAGCCTGTTATCATTGCTCCTGCGCATGTGCACTGGCCAGCCATGCCTTCATTCTGGATACTCCACTCTATACCCCACACAGTCATCTGGTCCTCCCTGCACCCCACAACAGACACTCCATATTCTGTGGCCATTGGGGTTTTCTACTTTTTTGTGAGAAGGGTTCCCTTTAAGTTATTTAAAATCTACTTTTGCAAATCTCGTTGTTCCCCAGAATGAGCTGGTAAGCTCCCTCTTGTTTTTCAATAGCCCTATTTTGACTGCACTGCCTTCAGAACTCAGCACCTGAGTTCAAGTCTTGGGGAATGGTCATTCAAGCCCTATTATTATTATTATTATTATTATTTTATATATTGCCCTAAACCCAGGGGTCTCAGGGCGATTTACAGAATAAAATCACGATATAAAACCATAAAATACTTAATAAAAATAAAAACAACCCAATAGCCCCTCAACACACAAAAAAACCCACATTTTAAAAGGGCATAGGATATAAATCGTATCAACCAAACTTACTCTAAGGCCTGCCAAATAGCGTTCCAGCTTCTTATTAAGCAGGATGTAGATGGCCAAAGTGTGGCAAGCCCGGTTGGAGAGGACGGTATTGATGACATCACTGTTCTTATAGCCAAGCTTTTCAGTCATGTAGAGCAGCACACTCTGGCTGATGTCTTCTATGTGGATTCTACATGAAGAGAAAAGGGAAGGGGTTATTTTCCCCCTCCATCTTCCAGGGAGAGCGTCACCAGAGAGAGGTGACAACAGACATGCTATATAAACCTTAATGGCCACCATGTAACAAGAACTATATACTGTTTTAACCAAACTGATGATAACAAAGTTGTTGAGACAAAATACTTTTTGTTAGTTTCTGCACACACTTTGTTAAAATAATGTGCATATAAAATAGCGCTGGAAATGTTTTTTAAAAAACATTATCTAGTTACAACACAAATAAATAAATAAATACTTATATGCAACTATTTTGAGGGGAAATGTTTCTGTAGCTTGCATCTTCCCCTCATATTTTTCTGCTGTGCCTTCTCATTGCTTCAGAATACCCGCAAGACCAATAAAGGTGCTAAACAGTAAGCATAAGCACTATATATAATGTTTAGTGCCCTAGAAATAGCACATCAAGAATGACAGCCTCCCTGGGAACCTATATTTGATATGTTATCGCTTTGGGCCAAATTCAAAGTGATGTTAAATGTTCCTTTGCATTTAACACGCATGTGGGTGTTTGTTTGTTTTGTTTAAATGCAAATAGCACCCACTGTGGAAGCTGGTAATTATAAGGATCACAGCAGATGGAGTGGGGTTTAATCCTTTCCTTCCTCTGCTCCAGCCCCGATGAAGATGGCTTCTGCAAAGCGGACATTTGCAAAGAGAAGGAAGTTCCCATTGGCACCACAAGACGTGGTGATACACAGTGGTTTACATGGAACTATAAAAGGCAATTAGATCAATTCATGAAATATCAGTAATTACTAAATGGAACACCCTCGTAGAAAGGCAGATGACCTCTGGATACCAGTTGCTAAAGGTCAAACATCATTGTTTGGAGATACCTAGAAGCATTTGACTGGCTGCTGTTGGAAACAAAGACAATGGACAGGAGGGAACTTCAGTCTGCAATCCTAAACACACTTGCCTGGGAGTCACTGGCGGAGGAAGGGGGATGCGGGGTGTGGGGTGTGGTCCGCCCCGGGTGTCATCCTTGAGGGGAGGGGTGACATCACCCCCTGCCCCCGGGTACACAGCATGTGCACTGCTCTAGGTGCTAGAGCAGCTGCTGGGAGTAAGCCCCACTGAAGTAAGCTCCCGCCTCTGCTGGGAGTAAGCCCCAATGAATTCAGAGGTGCTTATTTTTCAGTAGACATGGACTGGATTGTGCTGTTAAAATGATCAATAGGGCCCTTAGGTTATAACGTTAGTTCAATGACTCATCTGCTTCACACATTTTGCCTGCCATCCAACATAACACACAAAAACAAACATACACACCCTGGCTAAGGACTGCTTGAAAAATTTACAATTTTCTTACATGGAAAACAGTTCCACATTGGAAAATGCTTGAAAACCAAGCTGGGCCAACACATTTGATTGGTACACATTCTGACTGCATTCGTGCTTACGCAATGAAATAGATTTATGCGTGATCATCATGGGTGACGATCTACATACACTATTCGCTTTTTCTTCCTATCTGCAAGAATGAATGAATCCATTTATTTCAGTCACTGACCAGAGTGTAACATATACAACAACAGAGAGCATACAGACATAAATAGATAAAATTAAGTTTTATGATAATAGACAATAAATAATTCAGATATAAAACAGGTAAAATATGTAAGTCAAAACCTTAATCACTAGTTTAAAAGGTATTAAGTCATTGGCCATTTGATTCTCTCAAAGTTTGTCTCCTTAATTTTATAGCAGCAGCAGCACCACAGAATTTAGCCACTTTTAAGGTAATCTCTGGTTCCCTTTCCTCTATTCAGTATTTTAAGTAATTCCTATCTGCAAGAGATATACTGTGTAGAAAACTCATAACATCTAAAGTGCCCCAGAGAACAGGCAGTGGAACAACAATGTTTCAACAATGATTTATTTCATCCTCTGATGCACCTACTAAAGCAGCCATTTCTCTCTTTCAGTTTGCACACTTTGCGAACTTTTGTTGGTTAGAAGCAGCCAGCCCATGAATTTATTGGGTGGCCACAATAAGGCTTATATCCATCACATAAAATCTGCAGTAGATGCTTAGAAAGGTACCAGCCTCCTCTGCTGTATTAATATCCATCCATGTGTTACATAACCCTCATTTCCATAGTAACTAGCACCTCACAATGATTAAAGGTTTTTATCCTCACAAACCCCTTTTTGAGGTTGGGAAATATAATCCTCCGCACTACAGGGCTGGGACAAAGGCACTGGGGAAGCAACGCGACTTTGCGCAAGGTTTCACCAGAGATTTGGGGCTGATCCAGGAATTGGTCCTAGCAACCCTAAAACCATTGCAGAATACTAATCTTGCTCCCTGCTGCTGAGGAAATATCAGAGACTGAAAAGAATCAAAAGTGAGAGCTGGCATAGTAAAGCAAATAAGGGGCGAGAATTGAAAGCCAGACAGTAGCAGGCAGTGGGATGGTGCAATTAGGGCAGTGTTGCTCACCTGCCTTCCCATCACTGCTGGTTCCTGAGAGCAAAAGGAGGAGGGGAAGGGAGCCTGGATGGCAGAGCCAGTCTGATGCACCTGCCAACACACCTGCAGTGCGCTGAGCTCCCCATGCACCACCCGTTTCAGGAACCTGCAATGATGCTCACGATGAGATGGCAGGTGAGCAACATACCCCTGTCTGTGCTACCCTGCCAAACACTATTGGAGCCAGAGAGTCCTCAATCCAAATTTCCCTGCAGCTGCAGACATACTACATTGATGCAAAAGAACTCATGCTCAGCCTTTAACTTAGAATCTTAGCGTTGGAAGGGACCCAAGGGTCATCTCGTCCAACCCCCTGAAATGCAGGAATCTCAGCTAAAGCATCCATGACAGATGGCTTAACCACTTAACCAGTATATAGTCCATTGTTTTGATTTCTTTTTCCTGCAAATGTTTTATGTTGCTGTTCCTCATCCAGATCGAAGATACTCTTGTACCCAAGTATTTTTGTTCTGGGAGGGTAGTAATGGTAGAACGGCAGAATTTCAAAGTCATTCTTGGTCATGACTGGTGTTCTGGGAACTACAGTTCTTAGGGGCAAATAAAACTCACGTGCTTGCCATCATCGCAGTACACGTACCAACATTTCAAAACAGGAGAGATCTCTTGGACAACAGAGACGAGCTTTTCTCGAAAATTCTCCAGGCTCATAAATGCCAACTAATTCAGAAGTGAGCCAAGGGGAATTCACCCATCATTAGGGCTTATGCTGAATTTTGCAGGATCAGAGTGTGAGAGATAACATTTGAAAACACACACACACACACCTCCTCTGGCTCACTCAAGCAGCCCTTCCTCATTCAAGCAACCCTAATGACTTCAGTGGAACTTTATCATGTTGGTAAAACAGCCTTATCTTGCACAGTTTACCTGTTTGGATACGTGACATTATTCAGAACTTTTCCATTCTCATTAAGCCAACGATTCGCTAAGGCTTGTTGGATGTTTGGCCTCTTTGTAGGATCTGGCTCTAGCAGAGATCGTAGGAAGTTCACAGCCGCTGTAAAGACATTAAGGAGAGAGAGAAAAAGTGTCACATGTTTTGCAAATCCTTTTTGTAGATGATTAATTACAAGAAAGCAACTTTACCAAAAACGTATCAGCTATTACCCCAAACATAACATGAATGGTATTCAGTATGAATTAGAAAAGCACATGGTTTCCAAATGGAGGACACACCACCTCTAGAAACCTGCAAATATGGGCTGTATCTTTTACAGAAATGGTGTAAATAGCTCTAAGACTACAACATATGAAGCTACCTTAAACTGAGTTAGACCACTGGACTATATAGCCCAGTACTGTCTACTCTGACTGGCAGCATCACTCCAGGGTCTCAGGCTTTCCTTATCACCAGAACCTTTTAACTGGAGATTGCAGGGTTGATCCTGGTAAACTGACATGCACTTTATACATGACAAAATAAGCATTATGGAATCAAATCAGATGCGTCGTGAACAAACTGAGATCAGCTAAAGAAGTCCATTATAGTGATCACTTCAGTAGGTAAGACAGATATAACAAAACGAATAATTAAACACACTTATGGATGCAACTCTGATGAATCTGGTTTCTAACTCCTATTGAAATAATGGCAGTTACTTCTGTGTGGTTTCATCAGCCTGATTTATGCCAAGAACAGCTCTTGTGTTTATACAAACTGCTCACACCATCAGTACATTGTCAGCTTTAAGCATGGTAATTTATTTCAAATGTTTTTAAATTAAATGTGTGTTTATATATGCCTAAGCTTAAATCAAGAGTCTGACACTTTCTTCTGTGATTTAAAGGAGGGTCACAAAGCCCAATCTTAAAAGGGTCATGTGCCTTTTTAAGTTAGGAGGCTTTTTAAAAAAAGAAAAGAAAGATAAAAAACCAAGTTGGTATCTGAGCTACAGAAAGGCTCAGTAGCACAAAACCTAAGACTGTGATCTCTAAATCCAGTGGGATAAATCTTGCTCTCTGACTGTATAATTAAATGTGTGCGCCACAAGAAATTAATGGGGCTTTGCACTCAGCATAATAACTAATTTCTGCTTTGCATGTCACTTGTACCAAAACAGCCGTCACATGCAACTGTATTGAGTGGCCCATCTGGTGCATTCTCTAGTGACTACAGGAAACATTTGGAGAGGGTGCCAAAATAATCTTGGATGAGTTCCACAACAAGTGCTTGGAAAACGTGACCACAGCAATACTCCCCCCTCTTTGCTACAAAGAACATCAATCCAACTAAAAGTGCCAGGTTCCATGTATTTCTGCACCTCACGTGTAAAGAGAGCTGTTCACAAAGAGGATTCGCAGCAGCCTAAACAGTCTGTGATTTTTCCTTTACTAAAGAGAAGATAAGTTTGCCTTTAAAAGGCTACCACCTTCATTAGCCACATTGTCATCCAACCTTCTCAGTACTATGCAAGGGCATTCCCTTAGCCATATTCACACCAGGCAATGATGTCATGCACTTTCCACATGAAGCCAGGAAAAGGAAATACATGCTCATGTTCCACAACAAATCAGGGTGCCAGGAAGAGAAAAAAATTAAAGGCTTGTCCAATAAATCAGGATTGGGTGGTATCTAGTCAGAGTAACAAGAGATTTTCACAACATATAATCTGAACTAAACGTTTTGTAAGAATCTTACTTTTGCTGCACTGGGCCTGGAATTTAAGGCATTTATTATGTCATAAATGTATACTCGGTGACCTGAAAATAATTTATGTTGGCAGGGGTTTGGGGGGGGGGCATAAAGAAGTGACTGTGTGTGATATGGGGGGGGGGCAGCAAGATCTTGATTCCTTTCTCCCTGTAAGGCACCAAAGGGGAGAGGTCTGAAACTAGGATCTCCAGCAGCCAATACCAGTACTTCCCACATTGCAAGCGCTCTTGATCTTCAGAAGGCCAGGATGTTTAGAACAAGGAAAAGGGTGTCCTCTAGGCCCCATCTCCTGCTTGAAAAGAGCCAGGCAGGCCAAGTGGGTCACACCATAAGGCCTTGCAGCCATGTCAGACCACTAGTTTGAGTGATTTGTCTTAAGCATGCCTATTCTGCCTACTCTCCTGCTTTGCTTTTTCTTGACTGCCACAGGCTGTGACCCTTGTCTGCTGCTGACCTTGTGCCTGCTTCTACCCTCTCCACCCCTCTATTATTGCCTTGGAACTCACCTTTCTGTTTTGCTCTGGCTCAATACTTGCTTCTTGATCTTTGATCCATGTCCACTTAACTTGCCAGTGACCACCATGCCAATTGTCCCTGGCCTGTTGGTCCTCATATGCCTAATCTGGTGCCTGACCTCCTGTACCTAATGCCTTTATGCTCCTTGTCTACCCATGTTCATATGGAACCACAGGTGCATCCTGTCCTGCAGCTAGGAAGAAGACTGACAATCCCCTTCCTTCCTGTCGTAATAAATCCCAGCTTCCCCTCCCCTTATGATCTTTTTGACAGTGAAAGGGCAAGGTCTCCTCGCTACTTAAAGGGAGGGGGGGACTGAAAGAAACTGGATCCAGAGGATGCATGACAGGATATTTCTCTGGCAGACTAAAGGCTACACACCTGCACAATCTTCAGACCTTACAGGATTTTAGGAGCTGGAAGAGAATGCAAAACACACCCATCTTGCATCAGATGTGAAGTGCACATGAATGTGTTTTGAGCCACTCATATGCATTTTAAAGGGGCAACCAGCAAAAATATTCACATGAGATGCAGGGCCTATGTGTTCTGTACCAGTATCCTACTCAAGAAGGGAACTTTGTCATATGAGTAAGACTTAAGAATGTCCCACAAATCCCCACTGTGTGTGTGTGCTTTTTTTTAGTTTAGTTTCAGATGTCACTTAGCTTCAGACGCTCAGGTTAACTGACCCAGAGCAAGGCAGGGAAGCGAAAGCTGGAAACACTTGTTCTATGCTAAACATACAACAGATGTTCAGTCTACCTCTTGAAACCACTTTGGCAAAATACGGAGCCACTGTTCAGAACCAACTGAATGACTGGCATGCATTTATTAAGCTGCAAGTGTTTCAAGATGGAACCAAACAATCCAGGTCAGCCTCCTGTTTCGGTGTGCAAAATGGCCAAAGGTCACTTCCTACGTTATGAGTTTTCATTCAGGGGAGTTTTCACTCCTGTGAGCAAAACTGTCATGCAGAAAGAAAAATCCATTGTTTTAGGCCCACTCACAGAGTAAGCCTATGTATGGATACAGATCCTGCCTATAATACAGTGGTGCCTCGCAAGACGAAAAGAATCCGTTCTGGGAGTCTCTTCGTCTAGCGGTTTTTTCGTCTTGCGAAGCAAGCCCATTGACGGATTAGCGGATTAGCGCTGTTAGCGCTATTAGCGGCTTTTAGCAGCTTATCAGCTTATCGGATAAGCAGATAAGCGGCTTAGCGACTTAGAAAAAGAGGGGAAAAGGAAAAAAAACCCAGGAACTCGCAAGACATTTTCGTCTTGCGAAGCAAGCCCATAGCAGATTCGTTTTGCGAGGCACCTCCAAAACGGAAAACTCTTTCGTCTAGCGAGTTTTCCGTCTTGCGAGGCATTCGTCTTGCGGGGCACCACTGTATGGGAGTGCAACTGCTGCCACAGGCTTCATGTATGGAAAGTGGCCCCGACTTAGACCAGTTCTGTGTCTAAAAACACTGCAATAAATTACCCTTGCTCCACTCTGGCAAGTGACCGAGCAGCTAACAAGAAAATAAATCCAGAAATACAGGCCCCTCCTTTACAGATGCTTGCCTTGTTATGTGCATGTTTTACCAAGACATAGCTTCCCAGGTATTTTCTTTGCTTCTTGCTCTAGCAGAAACAGAAAAACTGTACTGCTAGGGGTGGGAATGATGTGTCACTGAAAAATCCTGTTCTGACATTGGTCCTTCCCACATGCACAATGCACTTGCAAGCATGAATCACAAACCCAGAGAACAGATGCACAGCCAACATCTGAGAAACTTTCTGAGCACATGCGCTCTTCATAAGAACCACTTCGGATTTCTCCAAGCTTGTGCAACACAACAGGATAAAAGAACAACTTGCCACTTAGCTGGGATGCAAATCATCAAAAAAAATCAAACTATTGTCAAAAAGCGGACGCAAAAAGCAACCAGTGTGGCACAGATCAATCAGCTTTGGAAATGGAGCCCTGTGTATCTAAATCTTGGGAAACTGTACCACATTAAGTATCTCTCATTTTTTGCTGCAATTTATTACTATTGATCCTTTTTTTTAGGTGTGTTTATTGGGGTTACACATTTTAGGTTTTATATATATATATATATATATATATATGTATACACACACACACACACACAAATAAAATACAGCAATAACAAAATAAATCACATGAAAGAGGGTTGACATCATGCCAGGAAAAACAAGAAAGAGGATACCAAGGAAGATCAAAGCATATCATCACATATGTTACAAATTTCTATACCATAAACTCAGTTAAGAATATATCTATCAATTATTCCAAAACAACACAACACTTAAGGGCAAGCAGAATACATTAAAGAAACAGAAATTGTAAACACCAACATTGGTCATCTGAAAGGAGGCTAAAGAACTATAAATCATTTTCCTAAGAAGGCTTGCTGAAAAAACAAAGTCTTAATTTGGCACCAGAAGCTCATTACAGATGATGCCAACTTGATTTCAGTAGGCAGAGAGGTCAGTAATTCCAGAGCCAATTTATGGTCTCTGCAGGGGCAACACCAGTACCAAAGGGTCAGTTTCTCTCTTCATTAAAATTTACTCCAATTTCTTTTAATGATCTTCGTTTCTTTTCTTCTAACTCATTCTTGTGTGCTTGACCTGTTCTATCTTCTTTATAAAAGCGTCTTTCCCCTATTTTTTTCTATTGCTATTTTATATTTTTAACTACTAACTCTTTTTTGATGTTTACTCTTCTTAACCTGAGTATCTTGCTTTTGTTCCTTTTCTCAGCTTCATTCCTTATCTTTCTAGAATCATAAAATTCTAGAATTGGAAGGTACCCAAAGAGTGATCTAGTCCAACCCCCTGAAATATAGGAATCATGCCCACAGCTGTCCTTGAGTGGGCTCGAACCACCAACCTTCTGGTTAACAGCCCAACACACTGGCCCACTGCACCACTGGAGGCATCCATTCTTAATTCTGCTGTCAGTTTGGTGTTTTCCTGCTTTCCTTTTGTTTCATCACTTCACTGGGTTCCATTTCCTTCTTAGATCCAGTGTGAGCTACCAAGTTTTGTTCTTCATACAATCACATAATGTGAAGTAACCTTAAAGCTCATCTAATCTAAGCCCTGTGCAACACAGGGAATTTACTGCTATGGCATCCGTGATAAGAGGTCATTCATTCTCAGCTTTATCATACCTAATGTGAAGATGGTGGTCCCAATAAGCAGAACAGCTCAGCAAGTGACTTATACCCTTGCACAACGTTTCTGTCCCATCACATATCCCTGCTGGCAGCTTGCATCAGTGTAGAAAAGTACACAGTAGGTCCTATCCATAAAATTAGCAGCTCTGCACATTATGGCTGGTGCATGGAACAGCTGCCAAACAGAGGGTATTTCAAAAAGGTACCCTGAGAGCATTCAGCCAACAAAAGCCAACACACATGAGTCCAATATACAGCTCCCATTGATCCACCAGTGGGTTAGAGATAGTGGTGAAGTCTTCACTGGGGATAGACATGCTAGTTGTTATTCTTTATTAAACTTATTAATTGCCTTACAAACTGCCTCAATGTGGCATGGAATAAAAAATAGGATGCATCAGTACAAAAATCACATAAAATGTAAGGTTTAACACAAAATAAGAGCAGCCTGTACCAGTGATCACACCAATAAATGAAAATACAGTAAACAACACAGCTACCCCCTCTCCTAGCAACATGGCATGATCACAGGACCCAGGAAACACGAAAGCCTCCATATTGCCTCCTGCACTTACATGTGTTAAGGTGATGATCAACAAGAATTGTAGGAAATTCTCATGTATATCACGAGCTAATGTGGTGGCCTCCAGATACTGTGGACTACGCCCTCTCATCATTCCTGACCATTGGCCATTCCAGCTGGGGCTGAAGACAGCTGTAGTTCAAAACATCTGAGACCACCACTTTGGCTAGCTCTGATCTAATGAAATTGTTCACAGGAGGATCTAGCATAATTGCTGTCTGGGCTGCCTGTCTATAAGAAATGAGTTAGCAATGTCACTCAGCAGCCAACGCCTCATTTTAATTTAGCTTCCATGTTTACCAAGTTTGTTATAAGACAAATAACATATCTGTAGTGTTAAAAACTCAGTGGTAGCTGATGCTCATTAGGACTGGTAGGGCAGCCAACAATAGATAGAGCCAATGACAGGCGGAGCTGAGTAATTCTAGTTTTGTCCCACCATTCTCCTCCCTGCTGAATTCTACAAGGGCAACAATAAGACTAGAGGAGAGACCTAACCCTGGGACTTGCTGTTAAGTAAGAAGACAAGCAGGTGGGGGGTTGGCCGAGGGCAGACTGGGGCTGGTGCGGCAGCACCTCATTTGGTCTAATGGACAAGCCTCCACTGTAAACTGCTATAAATGCTAGCACCTAATTCTTCATGAAGTTGGCTTAATGGACCATGCATTTGCCTACCATCAATATACCATTTTTCACAGTTGATCCCTGGGATACAAGCAACTATGCTGTACCGATAAATCTGTGGCGTATGCATTTTCAATAAATTCTGCACCCAATGCAATTTGAAATGGGGAGGAGGGAAGGCTTCAGAATAAAATGGGCACACAGTTAAAAATTCAGTGCTCTGTATGAACAATCCTTTTGGAGGTAATTCCACTAACCCTCAAGTTTTTTGCAGATGGAACACATCTGAAGCTCAGCAGTCATAAAAAGAGAAACCATGAATTAGTCTGAGGTTTCTGCCAAGTTCCACAATTCTGGAATCCAGCCCATCTAAAATCACTGACAGAATAACAATATTTCCTGAAAGGCTTTGTGGAAAGTCGTCTTCAAGAAGGAGGGCTGAATAGCCTACAGAAAATGTTGCTATTTATTTGACATATTACTTGGGGCTGGGGGAAGGGAGATGCATAATGGTCAGCGATTTCTGGGCTTATATATAGCCTGATAAGCTACCATAGACTGGTAAAAGCCCTGGGCTCAATTCCTGACATCTCCAAGCAGGGCTGGGAAAGACCTGTCTGAAACCATGGTGATCTGCTGGGAGTTTCCTACATGCTCAAACCTCAGAATCCTATCTGAGCCCAGGGGGGAACATCAACCCCTGTGACCAGGTGGCAATCTGAAGCCTCAGATTGGCCAGGTTCAATATAAATACCAGGCACTTGGCCTTCTGTCTTTGGCACTCCAGGTTCAGAACCAGTATGTCACGGGTCAGTGGGGTAACGGGGGTGGGGTGGGGGGCTACTGCCTCCCTATCTTTTGCTTATGGGCTTCATGGAAGCACCCAGTTGGTCAAAGTGGGAAACACAACATTGAACTAGATGGATCTCTGGACTGATCCAGCAGGGTTATTGCTTGCTGCATTTAAGGTCCCAGATTCAAGCTCAGGTCAATGGTTCTGAACTGGAGGTGCACCTTCCACATCTGAATTTCGGGTACAATTGCCAATGACTCCAGCTTGGTTGTGGCACACAAAAACAGCAAATGGGTGTATGGCATTTCAAGCCTAGACACCACATTAGTGCCCCCTCTCTATTTTGTCTGGCTCTTTGTCTATGGGGAGCCCCAGGCAGACCAACTCTGTGTTACAAATATGTCTGCAAACATGACATGAAGGCTGGCAACATCAACCCTGTCATGTGGGGAATCCCTTGCAGACAACTGCAGTGCCTGGAGACAGTCAGTTTGTGTATCCTCAGCAGTGACCAGAGGAGAGATGACCTTTGGGAGGAGCGCAGAGAGAAGAAACGCCATGGTGCATCTGCAGGAGACAAACTGGACCCCTTCACCTGTCTCTCCTGAATCTGTCTCTACAGCCACAGCAGGCGCTGTAACCTTCCAACAGTTTGACTTCATCCCCCAAGGCACACTCCTCCATTGTCTCCCAAGACAGACAGATATCAACATGGATGGATGGGTATGTGAACATGTGAAAGGGAGTAAGTGTGCAAATGCAAACTAATCCTTTGGTGAAGCCTACCAGCTAATTTAAACTTTTCAATGTGCCATCATCCACTGAGAAACAGTCAAATAAATAAATATAAAGCCTTTCACCCTGTTTCTAAAACTTGTCTAATGCAGCAATTTGTGAAGCATTGCAAAGAACTTCTACTGTTACAAGCACAAAGAGATAACAAGAAATGTCATATTAAATCAGTGTCTGAAGAGTCACCAAACATGCAGTAACTGAATGTGACTTTAATCAACGTTTGATGTATAAAGTTATGCAACACGGCATAAAGGCTAGCAACCTTAGGTCTTCTCTATTAAGTAATATTGCCAATACTGCTGCAATAGTGAACAGGTAGAAGTAAGAGCATAACAGTGAAATAAGTTTAATTTCTGCAATAATACTGAACATAAACTTGTAGAAAGAGCCTACTGCCAATTATTTTCTCCTTTTTTAGTGTAAATCTTCTGATACCACTCCTGACACCAGTAACATTAATAAAATACCCCACCTAACAAAACCAAAGAAAGTAACAAAAAACAGCAGTAACTCCCGCCCCAAATGTGCTGTTGAAGCAAAAGTGAAACTTTCCATTTACTCCATTGGGATATGAAAACTACTCATACATGCAAATATTTGAAGAACTGGATTGGTCAAATTACCACAGTTTCAATAGCTCTGACAGAGAAACAAAGCAAGCAAAGTTATGTTTGTTCTAACCCACTTGCAGCTAAAGTACAAAATTGGTCATTAAGGAACAGAGCTTCATAACCATTATGACACTAATTTATAGCTTGACACACCAAACACACTTCAAACAAATCCTATGGGTAATTCTCACTATCATCTTATACTGAAACCAAGCTTGGAATGTAAAAAAGGAACGCTTTTATTTAGGCTTTTATTTATTACTCCTAATGCATTGGAATAATATGATATATAACTTCCACAGTGAATTGGGTTAAGTGAATTTCAAATCATTCTGACTGAAAACTTGCCCAGGAGGGAATCTCAGGAAGATCAATAGACTTTACTCTTGGGAAGAATGTAGCCCTTCCATCTTCTGATTAAACCAACACAGGGAGAGAGACAGAAAGCACAAATCAAGTGTGAAATTACAGACCAAATAGGTTGATTCAGCAAAGTTCTGAACACTCAGCCCACCAGAAACAAAAGTTCTGATGTACAGTACAACTCTGATGGTGTTTCCTGCTTGGCAGGGGGTTGGACTCGATGGCCCTTGTGGTCTCTTCCAACTCTATGATTCTATGATTAATTATGAGGGCTGTATGGACGTAAATGGAGTAGCACTTAAGTAACTGCATTATTTACCTGTGGAGAGCTGAGTAGGGAAAGGATTCATTTCTTTGTCTACCATTTTCTGGTACAGTGCTCTCAGACTGAATGGCTCCACAGTAAACGGCAGTGTCCCAGTCAACATTGCATACATATTCACCCCACTGTAAAAGAAGAGTGGTGGGGGAAACTGTTAAGAGAAACAATTCCCTTAGAAACAAGACAAGGCATGCAAGAATGCATTAAGTTTACTAGCCTATGGTTTATCACACTTATGGAACATATATGAACATATGATGTTACTACTGGTCCATCTAACCCACCACAGTTTATTCCGATTGACAGCAGGTCTCAAATGTTCTTTAAAGGCAATGGTCTTTTCCAGCTTTGCTATCCTTCATAGGAGAAGCAGGGATCCAAACTGGGACTTTCTGCACCCAAAGCACTTGCTCTATCACTGAGCTCTTCTCATAGAAGCCATAACACAATGTTCTCTAGAAGTGCAGCAACAGTCTGCTGGATCTTGTGTCTCAGTCATGTTTAGAGTAGACCCACTAAAACCAATGGAGCTTTAGTGTGGTTAAGTCTGAATCCAACCCAGTAGCATTTAGCCTCCCTTCAGAGTATCTGCATAACCAGTTTCTTGAGAGATAAAACCATTCATAGCATGAAGGATCACATTACTTAAGAATTAATTCTGATTTGAAAAGTTCACAGTTTTAAGGGGTGATTTGGTTATATGGAAATAAGATTTGCTTATGTGCAAAAGGACCATACACAGGATTGATTCACACTATGCTGCTTCCATGCACCAAGCAAGTGCAAAACCCAAGGACTAAGCAAGTGCATTATAAGGTATATCCTATAATACAGCATTCCCTGTAGACGAACAAGCTATGAGTCAACTGTCTCTCTCCTTAAATTAAATGGTGCAGGATGTTATTGCCTGAGAAGGTTAAAGGGCAAGAAAAAAGAACGATGGCATTCTCTGTTTGAATCATGTCACAGTAAGAGCTTCTTCGTTCAGCAGCTCCAGCTTGCTGTGGATGGGTGACCCTATGTAGGAGCAACCAATTAAGGAGCAGTGTGACAGTTTCGATTTGGATTTTCTCGAAGCACAGACACTGTAAATTGGGCTTCAAAATATAAAGCTCTCTGAACTAGCTGCTTGCAAACAAAGGACAAAGAAAAACAAAAAATCCCAAAGAAGGAAACTCGTATCTGTTCTTAACTGCACCGAGATCAATGGAATTAATTCAAATTTCCAGACAGGGAAGTCTGAACATTTCTTGAAACACATTCATCTTTGTTTGCTTGTAGTACCCTGGAGTATTAAGATTTCCACTGCAGTCACTGAAAAGTTCATATCAGTTCCTATAAAAGCAAATTATTTGACAAGTTTCTTCAGCCAAACATATCTCCTTGTTTTCTGACAACAACATTCTGGGTAACTTCTGTCCCTGCTTCACAAACAGCTGTAGACCACAGTTTGTAAATCCCAATGGCCAAGGTCAACTAAACACACTAGGCAGCAATTACTTTGGAGAATGAACTGTATCATCTTATGTTTGGAAATTCCTGGCAAATTGAAATCCTGACATTGTAAATGCTAACATTTACAATCATCAGCACTGTAAACTATTTTTCCAAAGTTACATATTTTAATTTACCAGCAGCTCCAATTAGAACTTATATATAAGTCAAGCAAGAGAAGTCAACCCCCACCCCCTGCATGCATGTAGCTTTTTCAATTATAGTAACTCACATGGACCAAACATCTATTTTGGGACCGTATTTTTTTCTTGCAAGCAGCTCTGGTGCTGCGTAGGCTGGACTACCGCACTGCGTGCTGAATGGATCAGAGTATCCCAAGATACTTGCACAGTTGCTCAAGCCAAAGTCTGTGAAAAAGAAAATAAATAAAGCTTTCAACATTGCACAGGAGAAACAACAACCTCGCAATATTTGTACTTTGCTGCAATCATTTATGCAGTTAAAGGCTTCCTTTTTAGTTAAGAGCTTTTTATTTGAGTCTAGGGGAAATTTAAATATAAATTTAGTCAGGAAACTGGAATAACACTTATGGAAAAAAGATGACAGTACGAGCTCAAGTGTCTTAAGTAAATGCATATAAAATAGCTTTCTCCTTGCCTGGCAGAACTATTTGAGAGGCTGGAATCTTAAGAGTACAACCCTGCTCTCCTTGCATCTTTGCAACAGTGTGTGTGGTTGCATGCTACAGAACTGAGTATAGCCCTACCTATAACATCATGAGGATTTGATCAGATGCATGGTAAGGACTTGAAACCTATTTCTTAGGATCAAGGATGAAGTGATAGACATATAGAGGATTTACACGCCAAAATAGTATTTCCATCATTGGAGCCCTGGGGTTCTTAAGGACATCAGGAGGGCTAAGGGAACTTGAAACCTGTACTTCGGACTGAGAGCACACTGTGAGGTTACACAATACCATGAAACAATCTTTTTTGTCATTGGGGCTCCCAAGGTTCTGGGTCAGAGGGAGAGACTCATTTGGGGCAATATATGATTGCGCAGAGGGGTCACAATGCACTCCCAAACCATGTTTAAGGCAGCACCCCAATATAGTATTTTCAGGGAGAATCCTAAAGCAATCCTAAAGGGGGGCAGGGCTTACAATGAAATGGGGGCACAGCACGTGCCACTTTTCAGTTTGATGGATGGTAGTTCTATGTATGCATATGTGTGTATATCTCCCTTAAAGGTTTTATACACCTTAAACATTCAGAAACAGTCTCACACAGAGCTTTGTGTAGTTCACAATGTCTTGTTCGCTTTTTACTTCTGGTCCCATTTTAGGCAACAATTTTCATCACCTCAGAGGTGATGAAGCCTCTCTCATGAAATCATCATCATCTGGCTTCTACTGTGCACCCAGACTCATTGCTGCTAGAAAATGTGTAGGCATAGAATTAAATACATAAACAGATGTTCTGCTAAGGGGAATATTTTCCTATCAATGCCCACAACTAGCATTAATGGGAGCTATAAACAGATAGTAGAATAAGATGAGTAATCTATGGTGTCTGCAAAATGTGGATGAACAGTGCTCTGAATGAAGTTGATAGGCAGTTGAAGAATCAATGGGCCATTGACAAATTAGATATAAATATAAAAGGCTTCTCAACCAGTTTCACATTCTCTTTCTGCAGATGAGTAAGCCAATCATATGGAGTGGGTGGGGTTTTGCCTGATGCTGCAAGACTAAGGCTGTGTTCACACAACAGTGTATTTCATTTCCACAATGTTACCTAATTGTTAATTGCTGCATTATATTTGAGCATTCACATGACATAAAAGCCACTTCCAGAAATGTAACACAATATAGCACAAGTTTAGTACTCATCTATGTGTAATTGACTTCCAGAAAAAAAATCCATTTGCAAATAAAACAGAAAGGCAAAACTTTCTTGGAACTGAAGCTCTCAAATCCACACATTAAAAAGCAATGGTATGGTGGTAGAAGGATGTTCACACTCCAACTATATTTGCAATGATATGCCATTATGCATGCTCAAATTTTAGATTCCCTGTTCTTAAAAACACCATGCTTCCAGGAACAGAGCCCAGATGCTGCCTTTGTCTGTGGCAAAAGTAGTGAGTAGGGGCCGAGAATACACATTATTAGGACTACATGTGCATGCAAGTACATGAAAACAAGCATCAACCATTTCAACTGATTCATTTTCAGGGACTGTTAATCATATTAAAAATGGCATTTCCCCATATTGCTTTAACCTCTCCATTGTTTTGTAAAAACAATGTTGATATCCCTTGTGAAAATGGCTTTTATTACCACAGTTTTATGAGGAAGTATAGCTTACTGAAGCCACCAACTGGTAAAAACTTGGTGGAATCTGTCTCCCGACTGAGAGATAGGAGGGGAGTATGTACACCCTAGGTGACAGATAGAGGTGGTTTGATGGATGTTTTTTCTGTTTCTTGTCATAGGGTAAAATGACATTCCTAACATATATACATTGTGATTGATTTGTACTTTGTAATTTTGCCCATATGGAATAATGGTTGGAGCGTTGGACTATGATCTGGGAGACTGAGATTCAAAGCCCCAATCAGCCATGAAGTTCACTGGGTGACCTTGAACCAGTCAACACCTCTTAGCCTAACCTACCTCACAAGGCTGCGGTAAGGATGAAATGGGCAGGAGAACCAGTATACCACCTTGAGCTCCTTGGAAGAAAAGGTGGCATATAAATCTAATTGTGTGTGTGTGTATTATTGTATTTTTGTTGAATATTGCTTTTAGGTATTGTTTTCATTTGTTAATGCTTTGTTACTGAACTCGGGAGGGGGGGTTGAAAAGGAGCATACAGGTGTGAAATTAAATGAAATCAAATCAATTTAAAGTGTCTTACTTGCAAGTAACACATTTGGGGCTGTGTGCTACTTACCAGTGCTCATTGAAAAAAATTATATATGCATAGAAGACCACAGGATTGCAACTTCTTTTGCCACATTCCTCTAAAAAGCACTGCTATATACTGCCACACAGAATGTTTTGGGGCATTTATTATAACAAAAATACCAGTCAACAAAATTGCAATAAGAGTTTCATACCAATAAGCTTGATATTGTTGTCATCATCAAGCAAGAGATTTTCTATCTTCAAATCTCTGAAACAGACAAACATGTTTAATGAGAATACAGGCCTTCAAGCTTTTGATATTTTCAAAGTTTCAGTAACCACTGTCACTGTTGGAGCAAGGCCAAACTGAATGTTGTAGAGGTTTAATGCATCAACTTTAAAAAATGCATATAGCAACAGCTGGGGGGGGGGGAGAGAGATACTATCAAGACTGCACCAGGCATGGATGAGGAAATTTAACCTTTTCCTCCCCTGGTGATATCCAAAGGAAAGTATCTCTTCTGAAGTTGCTATGTGCATTGGAAGGAAAGCCCTCACTGGGGGCAACTTCAAAAGAGACATTTGCAAGTTACTTGGAAGTTGTACCCTCTTCTCTATGAGTACCTGCAAATAGGCTTCATCAGCTGTAAAAAGCCACTCATTGAGATTCAGAACTTTAAAAAGTCTCACAATTTTTGAAGTGAGAGTCAGGATGGTTTAAATACCTCAGCAATGCTTCAGAGGTGATTAGAAAGTTCTTTATTGACTATGGGCAACCATGTGAATTGGAAGTCATAACAAACAAACAAAAGAACGTTATTGTTGTACTGTATGATAATCTATAAGGAAAGACATCTTTGACATTATCCGCCAAGGTCTAACCAAATGCCATGAGTGACCCAAGCAGACAGTATGGTGACATGGTGAATAACAAAATAGATGTATTTTGAAAGAATTAGGAATGTCCTATGACTAGTTGTTGCCTACATTCTCAACTGGTGTGTCCTCTAAGTCTTCCATTACATGGCCCAATGCGGGAAACTTGGGCTATTATCAGACAGAAGAGGCTGTCTGGCAGCACCTATGATGCAGAGAATGATATATGAAAAGGTAATTCTTAGTCCCTTTTACAGATAGGAAATGAAGACGGAGCGATAGTGGCTTGTCCAAGGTGATAGCATGGAGGTACAGCATTCAGACTTTGATCTCTTACATCCATATGCTATTATAGCTCACAAAATACAGAAATGTGTGTATTTTAACATCTCCCAAAGCATTGCTTAATAACCAAATTCAAGGTGATATGCATCTAGTTCCACATTGAAAGAAATAGTGGAAAAAACAGATACACAGGAAGCTGTCTTTGCCACTGGTACATTATTAAATTCCTTTCTTTGACATTCTGACAGTAATTGCACTGAATAGGATTGAATTTGGTTAAAATTACTTTAAAAGGGTTGTTGAGAATTTCCTGTGGGATGCTATTGCAAGCACCAAAGCCTTAACTTCATTGTCTTTGTTGTTCTTACTCCCTTAGGAAGCTTAATGCTCATCCTGTTTTTGACAGCATGAAGGCCTCTGTAAATATCTTCTAAAAAGAAAAGGCTTCCCATATATTGCCATTTGAGATTGTTTTCTTGCTGTCAGACAAAGAGACAATGACTGCTATCTAATTCTGATTTGAGATTGATGCTTCTATGGCTTCAACAATGAACAAACCTCAGGCCAAAGTTTACAGACCTTCTCAAAATGACCCCACAGAGCCAGGACAGGCATCAGAAATGACTGCTTGGTAAGAGCTTTTGGCTGTAAAAAGGATGTACAGTATTCTTAAAACGGGGTTCTCAATCTGGCATTACAAACTTCATTAGGTCAAGGGAAAATCAGCCAAGCTTCCTCAAACATTCTAGGACAAGACAAACACAGACTGACAGCCCTGGAATCATCTTTTACAATATAATCTGGCAACAAGCAATCCAAAAGAGCATGAAGAAGGCTACAGTACCCATCTTACATGCCTTAAAGTCCAGTTAATGATGGAAGACCCTAGGGAAGCCAATAGCTCCCAAACAAAATGACTGGGCATGGTGACTGTGTTAAAAGGAGCAGCCCTGGGCTCTTTTAGAAGGAATGGCAGGGTAGAAATAAATAAGAGGAGCTACTCTGGGATGCCTAGTGCTTTGGCACCAAAACAGATTCTGAGAACATAACAAGCCCTGCTGCAGCTGACTAAAGGCCCATATAGTCCAGCATCCTATTCTCACAGTGGCCAACCAGATGTCTATGGGAAGCTGACAAATGGAACAATAAAAGCATGCTTCCCGCTCTGCAACTGATATTCAGAGGCCCTCAATCTCCAACACTGGGCACAGAACACAATCATCACTACTAGCAGCCTCTGCTTATCCTCCATCAATCTGCCTATCCCCCTTTTAAAGCTGTCCAAAGCTATCCACACTGAACACACAGAGCCCAAACAAAAACAAACCATGTGGCAAACTGCACATGACAGGAACCCATGAATTTCTTTTAAAGATATTGGTAACCTCACGTCATCTCTTTGGGAAAAACACCCAGGGAGGACTGAATTTTGTGGACAAACATTAGGAATTAGCTAGGTAAACCCTCCTTTTGGGTTCTGATTTACAGCCTTTGATTGTACTTCACTGTTGAAACTCCCAAAACAGAAAATTAGAAAAGCAATTTGGTGTAATGTTTGCCCCATTGTCCCTTTGAGTTGTTGGGAACGGGAAGGTGAAGCAGTGGGCTCATGTAGTGTAGGAAGAGTTTACACTCCACTGGCAACTCTCTGTTCTCTCACAAGATAACAGGATTCATATTATGTGAAGCTGCGGCTTTGAAATGACGAACTCATGACCCAGAAAATTGCTGGATACTGGTAGACTGGCTACTAGGTAGCATAAGTGAGAGTTTACAGAACACAGGCCGTGTTCACACATCATTCTAAGTCAAACCACGGTTTAACATGAATGCATGAATGTGCTGGCTCCCAGGGAGGAGACTGCTTCCATTTTGCTCCTCCTCAATTCTTTCAACTCAACACAACATGGCAGCTAAGAGTTGGCTGAGTGTGTCATCTGAATGTGGGACTGTGCTTAAAACTCTCTCCTCCTTAACCATGATCTGCAGCCAAGAACAAACCTTGGCTAGATATCATGGTTAAGAAGAGAGCTTAACCAAAATCCCATGTCTGGATGACACACTGAGCCAAGCATCGACTTAACTAACACAGCACACGAAAAACTAAGAGGACTAGAAAGGAGAATCAGTATGTTCAGGCAGTCTCAGTAAGCCACAGTTTAGCTTACAGTGTGACATGTGAACCAGGCTACTATAGCTCACAAGGTTAAGGAGGTTTCACTTTTAGGCCAAGTACTGAAAATGACAGGCAGGACAAAAGAATAATTAGTTCCTTAGCTGAAGAGTTGGATACCTTGAACACTTCTTTTAACCTTAAAATACCAAGTATTTTCATATGACAGTAAAATTTTCTATAGCTGAATTCAAGGTCATAAAAGTTTTAAGGTTCTTCAATAATTACAATTCACTATTTTCAGTAACATGACTCATGTTGATAAGATGACTGAATTTAATTACTCCTCTCCCTCAATCTAATTATTTACCTACTTTACCACACAAGGACAAATAATTTGTGATAGAGCCGGCTGAATAATATCTCTAATGAATTTGATTTTGTTGGTGGTGGTGGAAGTCCTTACCTGTTCTGTTAAACAAGCTCAGAGATCATGAGGATATATTGTAAAAGGTACAGAAGCAAGAAATTCCATCCCGCAAGAACAGCCATGTCTTGTTTATCATAAAGAGAGAATGTGAACACCTACAGATCACAGATGTGCAAGTGCTGTTATTTTTAGAGCTGATTTAAAATAACTTCATCGCCAACTGCACTTAAGGCAAGAATGAATTGTGACTTTCTAAAACATGGATTTAGCACTCCTTTTTAAGGGGTCCGTTATAATTAAAATAATAGCAAACTGCTTGAATTGATAGGTGACACATAGTGCTTGCACACTTTTAGAGCCTGCCTATAAAGCAACTCTCTACACTCCTGGCTGGATATTGTGCCAGTCAACTAAATCACACAAAGTAGAAAAGATAGGTATATAATTTAACCATTGAGGTTGCCTTTTCTGCCATTAAGTCTTTCAAACTGGATTACAGCCCATAGTTAAAACAAAATATAATTTTAAAAAGCACTTAAAATTAACCAGTGAACTAACTAGAGTTTATTTTTTAAAAAACACTGGCGTATCAAGAATTAGCAACAAATTATAAAAAATTAAAATCGGAGTCCACAAAAGTTCTGTTGCAAAATGTACATTTTAACCAACCACCTGAAACTCTGAACTGAAGAATGATACGATTTCCCTTGGGAAGGCTTTACACATACAAGTTCCATCTTGTTTTATTTATAACTGCCACTGCTTAATTTATGTAACGACAGATTGATTTTATTAAACTTTTGTTTAATAGTTGCTAAATGATATTTGCATCCGTGAATATACTGTAAAGATCTCTGTGAAGCCATGGTCTTCAAAAAGCAGAACACTCATGTTAAATAAATAAGCAAGCTCACCTGTGAACCACCCCTGCACGATGTAGGTGTTCAACAGCCAAGATAAGCTGCCGGATGTATTTGCGTGCTTCATGCTCTTCCAGCCGCTTTTTCTCATAGATTTTGTGCATCAAGTTGCCCCCTGGGCACAGCTCCATAACAAGGTAGTAGCTGTTTTCCGTTTCCAAGATATCCAGCAGCTGAGCAATGTAAGGGTGTCGGATCATCTGCTGGATCTGTCCCTCCCGCCTCAGATTCTTGGTAACATAGGTGTCCTTTTTGGCTCTTTTCTTATCAATAACTTTCACTGCCACCTGATGGGAAAGAAAGACAAGCCATAGTTATTATTACTATTCTTGTTATTGCTCCTAACTCCAACTGTTCAATCATAACATTAACCTGAAAAAAGCGAAAAAAACACAGAAAGAAGGAACTGGATGGGGGGGAAAGTGAGAGCTGAATTATACGAATATAATCTTAATCCTCCAGTGATGCGGTCTTACATGTATGGTGTTTGCTTTAAACAATTTTCAATGTTGTGTTTAAAGTTGTTGTTCCTACCCTGGGATCTTATGGTGAAAAGTGGCTAGTACATTTATAAATATTATTATTAATATTAATATTACTGTACCTCCAAATGCAATACTAATTTAATTATGTCCAACACAGTTGTGTAAGAAGGAATTTGTGACTTCTAAGCAATCCAGTTGGGGCCCAGGTGGCGCTGTGGGTTAAACCACAGAGCCTAGGACTTGCCGATCAGAAGGTCGGCAGTTCGAATCCCTGCAACGGGGTGAGCTCCCGTTGCTCGGTCCCAGCTCCTGCCAACCTAGCAGTTCGAAAGCACAAAGTGCAAGTAGATAAATAGGTACCGCTCCAGCGGGAAGGTAAACAGCGTTTCCGTGCGCTGCTCTGGTTCGCCAGAAGCGGCTTAGTCATGCTGGCCACATGACCCGGAAGCTGTCTGCAGACAAACGCCGGCTCCCTCGGCCAATAAAGCGAGATGAGCGCCGCAACCCCAGAGTCGGTCACGACTGGACCTAATGGTCAGGGGTCCCTTTACCTTTACGCAATCCAATACTAAGCATTTGGTGGTCAGCAGAACCCTCAAAAGCAAAACCTACAGTACTTAATTCCTACCATATTGAATGTTATTTTTCTAATTTACACAAATAAGTAAATGTGAGGTATCCAACAAATATCCTTTTATTTTAAATTGACTTCTGTATCTTGATTTCAATTATTTAATTACTAAGCATTTGCATTTACATAACCTAAAAGCAGATTTCTAGGTCACAAGCATCTATTGATGTTTATTATGACATCTGTGGTATGAGCAGCAAAAGAATTATGCTAATAACCATTCCTCTTTCGCAGCCTATTTCTTCAGAGTCCTATGGCAAAGGAAATGATCATACTTTGCAAATGAGATCTATTAGCTCATTGTTCATTACTGCCAGCTTATTAGAATGGAAAAGGGAACTCGCTGTTCTTTCATGCTGTTGAGCTTTGCACTGAAATCAGTTTAAAAGGTTCCCGCCCATACAAAACAAAATCCAAAGTGGTGAAGACTCTTAGTTTAGTGGTAGAGCACATAGTCTTCATGCGAAAAGTCCCAAGTTTAATCCCCAGCATCTCCAAATGGGACTCTAGCTTTGATGGACCCCAGACAACCTATCCTCTGGCAGGCCAACCTACATAGCTGCAACGGAAATGTTTCAATCAGTGCTGGTGCCTGGGTCTAGCTACCCTTTCCCATGATGCTTCTGACCATTGCGGAACACTGACATGATGGCTGGATTCAGTCACATGAGGCACTTTTTGGAATTCTTGTTAATTACACGTTTCTTCAAGTATAACACTTTTAGGCCAAATCTATCATCCCAATGTCAAGTCTACATTACACTAATATTCTTTTCCTTGTCAACTTATAAGATCTCTTGTTCTTTTCAACAATAACCTTCATTATATCTACATTTAATAACACTGCCCAAACTACAGGATCACCCTGATTTCAATAGCCTTTTCCAGAAAAGTTGCTGAGGTGATGACAATAAACATTAGTTCAAACAAGAAAAGTAGCTCTCAGAAGCAGCCTCCAGGATACAGTTGACAGAAAAGGAGCAGATGAGTTGCTGATGTGGAAGACTCAATGGCAGCTTACACTCCCAGTGCTTCCAGTTTTCTATGCCTGAGAATAAGTGATTAATATTTCTATGTCCAGTGTGAAAAGTTGCCTGGGGGAAACTAATGGAAACGGGATGGGCTGGCCAGGCCAGCTGACAAGGCCTGCAAAACTGAGCAATAATTAGTTTTAACTAGATAACACAAAGGTCAAGCAATGCTCACAAGGCAGCTGCACGATGGAAATTAACATTTGCAAAAATGCCAGGAAGCAACATATCACTGTGTTGAAATGAGGTAGTTTGGTTACACCTTAAAACACTGAAAATCACAACTTCTTTTGCACTGTTAAATGTGGAGTGAGGGTAGATTCAGGCAACCAGGAACTACTAAACCCCCATGTTCACATAGAGAGGCATTGTAGCAGTTCCCACATGGTTAACAGTCATCTGAATCCACTGTCTTAAACCAAAAAACTGAATGTGCTTTTCTCCCAATGAAGTTAGAACAATAACTCAGATTAGCATAATGTGTTTAAACAAGCCATCCTTAAGGATTAGTCTGCTGAGGACAAATTAATTCATGCATATTGAAAGGTTGTTTCCTGTTGGCAGAATAGGAAATACCACTTGCAGGCGGAAACAGAAAAGTAGTGTTGGTTTCCCCCAGGATTGAAAGACACAGGAAGAAACAGAAATCTGTTGTTTGAAGTGCTTTATGAATCACATCTCTCCCATACCAACAAGTCATCCCTACCTCATTGAATATAACAGTTCATTGTTGAACACCACTAAGAGGTGAACTACATGTTACATGCATGCAACAAAGAAAGCCCCAACAGTTTTTAAAAAAATAAAAAGCAATCTTAACATTCACATTGTTTTAAAACCTATTACAGTGGTTCTTATTGTACAATTTTAAATAGCCTCAAGACTTAAGTGAACAGCAATAAATTAATAAAATAATTTTGATGGGAGGGAAGCTCAACTGGCTTTGGTCGGTGGAGGCAACCAGGGTGGGGTGGTTTGTAAGACCCAATAATCACAGAAATGTGTCTTCCACCTCAAGGCACAACCTTGCAGTTTCCTTATTTAAACCCATCTGGAACATTTGCTAAGGAGTGGAGAAAACACAACAGCTTTCCTACCACCTACAAAACTCCAGAACCCAACGTAGGATTCTTCCACCAACTTTTGCTCTTAATTACTAATATGATTACAGTACAATTAACTGAATTAAAATTGTTTGCAAAATCAAAGTATTAAAATGTATTAATAACAACTGAAATTGAAGCAGGTGTGCATAGGTGATAAATGCCTGAAAACATAGGTCTGTTAGTTTAACATCCTAAAAATGGCACTCAGAATACTTCCAGATGAGGACTTAGTAAGCAAATGGATCATTCAATTATCTCAAACAGATAGTTGTGTTTTTTACTAATCGGATTTTGCCTGGAAAGGGAAATGCAGACGAAATGGGAAAATATGAGCTGGTATCTGAATGCTAATGATGTGGATGCAGGAAAAAACCTGCATGCATGAAGAACACAATAGGCATCCATCTAGAACCACGTTTAGACAATTTGCTATATTCTTTTACCGCTCAATCCTATGCATGTCTACTTGAAAATAAGCCTAACTGCGTTTAATGGGGCTTATTTCCAATGGAAATGGAAACAACTTTCCATGTATGGTATCATACCCTAATACAACCTTGTGCCCACCAGACTGCTCTTTACGCATAGCTGTTTCATCTGCATCACAATGCTTTGATGAGGGGGCCGAACTAAAAGTAGCACTTACTTCTTAGAAGTTATGGTGTGCTTGTACATAATAAATGCATATGAGCTAATTAATTTTGCCTCACAAGTCTGTTGCAAAGTTCAACTGGGTAGGAGAAGGGCAAGGCTGAAAGTTTTTTTAAAACAACAACAACAACTTGGCTTATTTAGACCATTTTTCTTTAATCCTGCTCTTTGTAAACACCCCATGGTGCTGGGACCTCCTTCTCCTTATATGCTTTATGTGCAACTCTGGTTTTACTTCCAATAAATAATTCAAGTCCTGGCGTTCGTAATATCCTGCTGGTGGGAAACAAAACACCAGCTCCCACAATTAAATTGAGAAAAGGCTTTAAAAAGCAAAGACAAGTTTACTGTAAAGCTGAACTTCAGTGGTATGGAAAATCACTGAAAGCAGTCGAGCTTTATAAAGAGCCCAAATCCTTATGCAGAACCTGGGGTGTGTGTTTTTGCAGTGTAAATGTCCATTTCTCTTTACAACTTTTCCTGAGAAGTCCCAGAGTCTTCTAGTTAAAGTATACTGTAATCTGAATGAATATAAATGTAACTGGGAATTTCTTTTACAAAAAAGCACCCTCCCTAATATTTACCAGTACTGTACTGTGTTATTTTTTCTCATATGGCAAATCCAAATGATTACAGGATGTTAGTTTACCATTTTCAGTGCCCTGAAGTGGGCATGAAAAACTCTGCCTTGCAGGGACAGCAAGGATTGCTACGGTACGTTGCCGGGACGGTGGGATGCTTTACTGTAGCACTGGAGAAGCCTGAGAAACCCGAGAACTTCTCCACAGCTTCAAGGAGATAGGTCAATGGACTTTCCCAGAAACTGGAGTGAAGTGTGGTGCTCCAAAAAATCAGTCTGTCTGGCTTGAGGGCCTACAACCCATTGGTTAAAGAGGAGCATCAAGGGAAGACTTAGGATTCGGAGAAGCACATGGGGAAAGGACCCCCAAAAAAATTGCTGGAAGGGAATTGTCACTGATGCACATTGGCCATACAAATGATCTCTGATTCATGTAAGGGAGTTAGTGCTTCATCCAGTTTGGGTGTGTACAGGTGTACTATGTTATAATTAGCAGGCAGGGTGAGTATACATGTACCATTCACATCAGAGATGTACTTTTCCCAGCTGTGGTGAACCTTTAAATAATAACACTTTTTCAGATTTTCACCTAAAAATTAGGTTGGATAGCGCACAGAGGACGGCAACCAAGATGATCAAGGGTCTGGAAACCTAAAATAAATATCTTCTTATTGAAAGATTCCCCTTTTTGCTTTCATGTCTCATGATTATAAAATAGAAAATCCCCGAAGCCTAAGGTCTGAGGGCAAAACCTAAGGTCAGATTCCTCAGATGCTTGTCTAACCATGTACCAGTTCATGATTTTATGACAGTGTAAACCAATGCTTAACTTTAAGATTAGGCTGCTTTTTAAGATTAGACTGTAATGCTTTACACATCAGGATAAAATGACTCTATTCCCCTGCACAATTTCCCCCCAGATTCTCTTACAAAATGATGTCATATCATCAAATACTTAAAAAAATTATTCAATGCACATTAGATTTGATGACACATTTACATTTGCCAGCAAATACCTTTTTTGGTTTCAAGGATTTCAAAACTGAGGTGCACATTAGATTTGATGGCGCATTAGACTCAAGTAAATACAGTGGCACCTCGGGTTAAGAACTTAATTCGTTCTGGAGGTCTGTTCTTAACCTGAAACTGTTCTTAACCTGAAGCACCACTTTAGCTAAGGGGGCCTCCCGCTGCCGCCACACAATTTCTGTTCTCATCCTGAAGCAAAGTTCTTAACCTGAGGTACTATTTCTGGGTTAGCAGAGTCTGTAACCTGAACCGTCTGTAACCTGAAGTGTCTGTAACCCGAGGTACCACTGTACAGTATTATTGCTGATAGGAGCAGATCAGGACAGAAATCCAAATACAGTGCAAGCTGCTAAATTTATCATCACAGCTCCATGTTTCTATGACATTGTGCCAAATTGTCAGATTCAGTCATAGTAATTTGGAGCAGACCTGAGTGAAGAATGCAGCCTCCAGGTCCGCTCCCCAAGCCCTGCCACAGGCCGCCACAGATAGGCTAGATTTGAAATACTGGCCACCCATGATGCTCTGTGGCAGCCGGGGAAGCTTCCAATGGCCAAAACAACATGGCAAGGCTTTGGAGGCGCCGCAGCGAATCGCAACAGCTGGCCACCCTGAAATCAAGTAAGTGGCCATTCTAGCACTGAAATTTGTTTGAATGTTGCATGTTTCCCCTCTCCAGCTCTAATCAAACATCTACTCCATTTCCCCCAGCCCCATTTTAAATAGGGGTAGATAGTGGCCCCTACTCTCATCCACTGCACGATCAATGGACAGCATATTGTCATCTCTGAATCGGAAGTTCAAACTATCTCACAAGCACTGAAATTCAGTCGCAGTGGAAATCTCCATCCCATCTGTTTTATTATACAGTAAACAGTAACTGAGTGAGTGGAGGCTTATAGTTAAAAGCTGCATCTTCAGATTTAATCATTTAAGGATGGAACTATTCAAGGATTAGAGATGGTGTCAGATTCATTTGGTATTTGTTCTTTACTGCTTGTTCTGGTAATTAAAAAGACTGAAGGACACAAAACAGAACATTTCAATGCAGCCTACAAAGCTTTTTTTCAAAAAACCACACACGCACACACACAACCAACCCTGAGGTTTATAAGTTTAAGAAAAGGATTTTCAAACCAAATCCATGTCTTGAAATAGATCAACACTTTCCCCAAATAAAAAAGGGAAATCCTTCAGTGCAAGTTGCCAGGCTGTGAACTGTGTACACACAGCTGTAACTACTCTGTTCCCAAGAGAGGTGGGATTCAAAGGAATGTTCTTTTACTGCTTCAAGATAACATTTCTTGCATTACAAGCCAAATTTGGTAAGGCACTTAAACATGAGCCTTACTTTAAATTCAGGAGCAGTTCCAGTGAAATGGAAGCAATTTAAGTGACTCCCATACTTTCTGTAAGGGCAGTTCCCATGACTCAATAGATGAGTTGTGAACGTGTGTTAGAATGTAAGAAATGACTTGCTGGATTAGAACAAAGGACAATGAAGTTCAGCACCTTGCCTCCAACAGTGATCAGTCAGATGCCCTTACAAAATTCACAAGCAGAACATTCCCTGTTGTTTGTTCTTTGCATTTGGCGACCATAACACATGATTATTCTGTGCAGTACAGTACTTCTACTTCTTTCCTCAAGGCTTAACGTTTCCCAAGCCCTCCAATTACAATATTTTGTTTCTAGGAAAATTCTATTCACCCCCCCCATAGAGTATCAATTGCATCTATGACTGCTGTGTAGAATGAGGTAGTATGAGCATTATGGGTATTTGCTGGATTTGACATCATTTGTGATTAGTGACAATTTGCTCACCCATGGTCACCTTTCAAATAAATTGTTTATTTACTGCTCTTTTACATGATAAGGCTTAAACAATCCACACTTACCTATGAATATGTCATTCCACCACTGCAGCACACAACAGTAGGATTGCTTATGTAGCCATTCAAAAAAAATGAAGAGATAAACACCAGCAAGGTTACTTCTACCACAAAAATATTTGGCACTTTGGAAGCTTTTTCTTTCTTAAAATTATATGAAGACTAGAAGCCCATCTCCCTCATTGCTAGGGTGTGTATACTCTCATATCTTTTTTAAGGTGGTAGACAAGAGTACAGCTAATCAACCCCCACCCGTTGTTGCACATATCCAAGTTTTGTGATACAGCTCTCTCTTTAAAAATACACAAAATGCCTAGAAAGCACCATTTCAAGAAAACACACTCAGAAATAGATTTAAAAGGTTAAAAGCAAAATGCATTCCGATTTACATATTCTTATATGTAGATAGGAGAGAATCCTTCATGCTTTTTGAAAGAACAAACTACTGTTCAATGCAGAAACACAATGGAATAAAAAAATCAATGAATCAAAAAATGGAAAGAATATTTCCATTCAAATGCATTTGCCTTCAAATATTAATTGCAACGAATTTTAAAATATGTAATTATTAAAATATGCAGTCAACAACAGACACACATGCATCCCATAAAATCATTTATCTAAAATCTAAATAATAGTCATTCAAGTCAATGAAGTCACATGCATTCGCAATGCTTTCTCTAGCATTAAACTTTGGTAAAGCCAAAGGTTTCTACTTTATCGCTGACTTCATTGTTGTTGTTATATTATTCCGATAAATATTATTTCATTCTGCATGCACAACAGAACCTGCAATTCTTTGTTTAGGGCAGAGTTCGCTAATCCTGCACCCACGGGCACCAGATTGGTGCCAGCCCTGCTAGAAAGAAAGATATTGGGTGCTACCTTGCATATTTTTCCTAGTGCTGAAGAATGTTCCCTATTGTTGTTAGACAGCAACAGCATCATTGTGTGTGTGTGTGTGTGTGATGATCTCCATAATCGGGACCAACAGGATACAGCTGACTTCCTGTGGTAAGCATAAGGCTGTTGGGAGTGGTTGTCTCTCTAATTTTGTGTTATGCCACAGTCCCCATGGCAGCCATTTTGTTACTGGTGCCGCCATCACTATCAAAATTTGAAATGTGCCCACTAGGTTGGCAATCCCTGTTTTAAGTCGTTAAAAATCCCTTCTAAGTTACCAGGCTATGCTAGCAACCTTCCCCTCACGACAAGTGTCCATTCCTTCTCTCTCTCTTTAAAGTGGGAGACAGGAGAATTACTACCCCCACCCACCCCTGAAGCAAGAATTACGTTTCTCATATTATAGTATCAGCAACAGAAATTTAACATCTGAAGTAAGTTAATTTGCTCAATAATTCACCAGATATTTTCCAAACAAGGATTTTGGCATTACATAAATAATGTGAAACATGCACGCTCCTTGTGCCATTAAAAACTAGAAATCCAGGTTAAGCTTAAAATACTGTTGACAAAGAGGAAAGGAATTTCAATGGGCAGTTGCAGAAATGAATGAGGAGTCTTGTGCATGATTGCTGTGACAGATGAAATACCTGTTAAGACAAGCATGGTCTGTTTCCTTTTGTTGACCAAAGCTGAATACTGTACATAACTGCCCATGAAGTAAATCAGGTTTCCAACTGCTATAAAACAGAGGTTTTTCTGGTCCTTTTAAGTTAGATGAACTAAGAAAACACAGAACTCAAATAAAGCCAGACAAAAGTAATGCCTGGGTCACAAATGTATCCTATCTAGCTGGTTTTGATAATAGAACAACTAGCCTTTTTAATGTTGCAAATGTCTTCTGTTACAATGAGATAGATGAGACTTCTCAGATTACATGTGGCAAAACAAAGGCAGAAAACCCATGCCAAGTAATAATGTTATTTTAATAGCCAAGCCTAACGTGAAAATACTTGTTTGCAGAACTTACAAAATGACAACATTAATTGATCTATAAGACAGGATACATGTAAATGTTCCCATTTGAGATGTGGTGTTGAAATGTACATTTAGCTATTCCAAAGCAGTAATGACTCAATGTTCTTTATAGTTTTTCTACAGCAAATGTATGCCATAGCAAAACAGTAGTACTGCTCTTTTGACACACAGGGGATTTCAGTTCTGGTATTACCAGCTATGCTGAATTATGGACTTGGGCAGCAGGATGCTTCAGTTGTGCACACACAAGCAATCTTCCTCTCACTCTTTTGCCCCAGTGTGCTCCTGTACAATCCAGATGCTCCAAGAGAAACACAGAAATTACTTGCATGTAAGTAGACTGGCTGCAATTTCATGTTGTCAGCTGGGGCATTTGTTGACAAGTATAACTGTTGACGAAGCGGGCTAAAGCTAGGCCCTTGACACAGAAGACGCGAACCTTGCCATGCAAGGAAGTCAACAAGGCTATGTTCCAGTTGTTAATTTGGATCCCATTTTTTTCTTTCTCAGGGAACAGATTAGAAGCTCGAGAGGTAACATTCTCATTTTGAAATGGCATGTTTCAAGTTGAAGCGAACCTTCTTGAACACATCTGCTGCCAACAAAGGTTCTAATTAAACTGTTTTTATAAGAACCTAACCTGTTTCACTCAAAAAAGTGTGTTATTGATAATGTTCTTAGCACTGTTTTTGTCCAAATATTACTTGAGCATGGGGCTCAAATATCTGATGAGGGCCAAGTTACATGGGAATGCCTTTCCACCTCTTTATAGGCAACTCCCAATTTACGTGGGGGTTATGTTCCAAGGCACCACGTGTTTAAGTGAAATTGCGTATATTTGAAACACCATTGGAAAAGGTGGCAAAATCAGAAGAGCGCTTGAGATCTCATCCTCATGTACACCTCCGTCTTTAAACTTTCCCAGGTATCTGTATGTGACAGACTAGCTGTCATTTCCCAACAGGAGAAGTAAAATGGAGAATGAGACGTATTAGAGCACATTATGCACCTTTGGTGCTCTATGAGCTGAGGTACAGGGTGCCCCCCTCCTGCATTTCTAAGCCAGAAAAGGGCTTGGGCTGAATAAGAAATCATGAGAGAGAGAGAAAATTACACAACAACGAGCTTTCTTTCAGGTTTACTTCTCCGTTATACATATATTCACAAATCTGTCCTTCTGCCCCCACTCCATCTTGTCCTTCCAAGCTAAGAAAACCCAGAGGAAAGAGATACAGGAGGCCATGCAAGGAAAAGAGTTCTCTCTCTCATTTTTCTCTTTGGGCAGATGTGTTGGAGAAAGGGGGACAAAGGAAAGTTCTTGCTCCCTCACCCTCCGCACTATACACAACCAGTGACTTTATATAGAATATTTTATGAAGCTTTATAGCAACATTTCAGAATTGACCAATGAATATGTCAGTGTTCTCCCTGGTGTAACTAACTTCAAAAGGACTTCAAACCTAAATGAATCCAGTGGAGGGCATGCTTTAACTAACAAAACATTTATATACAAAAGCATGACTTCAAGAACAGGCATACAACCTTACACATCATAAAACTGCAAGAAATACAAACACATACAAAAGAAACCAGATGTGATTTTCACATAAGAATTTACCTGGTGTCAATTTAACCTAAACACTGGTTAAACATTTCCACCATCGGCCATCCACAAGTGAAATGATTATATGCGCAGGGGGTGGGGAGCTGAGGCTCTACCAATGTTCACTGCTGAAGATACTGTAAATTTGAAAGCAGATTATCTCAAGAGGATAAGTACCTGCCACATGTGCATTAATTCAGTCTACTGCAGAACACGTTGAAAATTTCAGCGGAAAAAACATTAATATGAATTTCCTAGAATCCAGGCTAGGTTTGCAGACAACAGACTTTAGTAGTAAATACCATTTCCCTTTCTAGAAACATGCAGTGTAGGATGACAATTTTAAATAGGTTTGTTACTTGAGTAGCCAAGGAAAGAACTGATTATGTAACAATACACAGGTGACTGCACCTCAGCAGCGTGGTGCTTATCCTGACTTAAACATTAAGCTATTTAAAATTTCCTGCACATGTTACGTCATGCTACCTTACCAAAGCAATAAGCCCTATCCCCTCCCCCACCATACAACCACTGGATGTGTTTTAAAACAACATATGACCTTTCTTGAAATATGACATTTGCACAGATTTATTATATATAAAAATTACAGCATCAATTGTGCCATATTAGACAATATTTCCTGCCACAAGGTTCTATCCTTCTAATGCTGGCAGTTAGTCAGGTTTTCAGAACAAGAATGGCCTCCCATTGAACAGGCAGGGATGCTGCTGTGCACTGGAAGTTTTTGATCCCCATTCCGGCCACCAGGGTGACATAAGTGATTGGTACAGGTGTGTGGCCAGGCAGGCTAGTAAAGGTATTTGTGAACCTATTTCCAAGGCTACAAAACCCAAATGGCTGAACGGGGAATGTTGCTTGTGCAGCAACGTTCTGTAAAACTTCCCACACACTGGCCAGAGTTCCAATGCAACTGAAAAAGCTGTACCCCAAACTTAGGGGACCACTGGTAGGAAACTCTGATTCGATTCAGCAGGTGAAGTTTCTTTGAAAAAGCAGAACTGTGGCAGCCCTGGTTCAAATGCAAAAGCCTCTGGATGCACAGATAATGTACTTTAGATCCCAACAACAACATTCAGACTTGAGATTTCTTTCCCTTAATCCAAATTTGTTGCGTTTGTTCATTTTTAATAGGTCTCAGAAAAAGATAAAAATGTGTTTTTATTTATGTCGAGGCTTATATATCAAACAAGTATCTAGACAGGAAACAAAATACAGCATAAAAATATTTAGTTACATTTCACATTTTACAAACTTGACAGTATCTTTACAAATGAACAAAGAATCAACATTTGACCAGATTTAAGCCCACTTTTGCAGATTGGATTTTGTGGTTAATGATAAAATTACAGGCAAATGAGGACTGAAAGGAAGTTACAATAAGGCATGGCAATTCTTACTGTGATATAAAGTTATTCATCTCATTTAGTCGGCTTGGGAGGAATGTGCTATCAAAAGATTAAGCATCTGTAACAGGAAAGTTGAATCAGGTGATCAAGTTCCTCACCTACATTGGCCAGCCAGAGGGATGGCAGCTTATACCATTCTTCATCCTAATTTAGTGTAAGAAAATGAGGAGAGAGGAAAAATTCCACTGGTTGTTTTATATGTTTTACAAAGAATTTGTGCCTAACACTTCCCTTTAAACTGATGGTGAAGAAAATCAACTTTCTTTCTTTAAAAGTGTGTGTACAGGAAGTAACTCGGAGGGAATTACAAAAGGAAAACATGGGAAGATTAAATTTATCCAATGAAACAAAAACAAAGGAGCAAAGACACAATATTACCATTTTTGAAGTGTTACTCATACCATCCAATTTTGTTAAGGGGTTTCTTTCTTACATTCAGGACTTGCCTGTACTGTACCTCCAAAATAAGTTGTCATAGAAACCCTGCCTGGCTTGATTATCCACTTTAAGGCCACTATATTGAGTGTGGTGGATTAAAGCCCAAATGCAAAGGAAAACATGATCACCAGGTCTCACCAATATGCAGTGTCTACACACTGAAATGTAGTTGCTGCTGCTCTTCTACTGGTCCCCTTACCCGCCATTCTCCCCTGGTTGCTGCTATACAAAAACATAGTGCTGCTCACTACAGCAGGCAGGAAGAGGGGGGAGAGGGCTGACGGAAGAAGACTCTGCAGCCCACTCTGACCTGGTGCATTTAAAGATGCATTCTCCACTGCTGGGTGAGGTCCTGGAAAGCCACCATAGAGCTAATTAATGATGGGATAATCAATAGCACAGTGGTTTAATGATAATACACATATAGCCCAATAATAACCAAGGACCTTGATGCATCTTATATAGTTTCCCCCTCCTGTCCTGACAACAATACTATGAAGTACATTAGCCTGAGAAACAGGGATTGTCTGAAGGTCACCCAGCAAGCTTCATGGTTAGGTGGAGACTTGAACCTTGGGTCTGACACATATACAGTGGTGCCCCGCAAGACGAATGCCTCGCAAGACGGAAAAACCGCTAGACGAAAGGGTTTTCCGTTTTGAAGTTGCTTCGCAGGACGAATTCCCCTATGGGCTTGCTTCGCAAGACGAAAATACCTTGCGAGTCTTGAGATTTTTTTTTCGCTTTCCCCCCCCTTTATCTAATCTGCTAAGCCTTTAATAGCCTTTAATAGCTAATCCCCTAAGCCTTTAAGCCTTTAATAGCCGCTAAACCGCTAAACCGCTAAACGCGCTAATCCGTCAATGGGCTTGCTTCGCAAGACGAAAAAACCGCTAGACGAAGACTCTCGCGGAACGGATTAATTTCGTCTTGCGAGGCACCACTGTATAAACAAGCACATGTAATAATCACAGGGCACAAGACTGGATTATCTCAAACACAACAACTACAGGAGAAATACATCTGAGGAAGATTACACTTTTGCCAGCATTTTTACTAACTAAAGCAAATGAAGGTGGGGGAAACGTCCATATTCCTGCAAATGTAATCTCTCAGCATTTTCAATATTTAAACGTAAATGGTTGTTAATTTAGCCACTTAAGCATTTACGGTTGCCTTGGAACAACCATACAATATAACCTGTAACTATTTCTAGGACTGAATCTTATTAAGGTTCCCTGAAAGCAAAACTCAACACCTGCTGAGAAGATTTGGAACTGCACTGCTATTTGTATACATACTTCAGCCCCTCAGAAGTGATTTAAAAGGTAATGCAAGGCACACAGTTCAAAGGAAATGTGCCTGCTATGGCAGCATGTAATTTTTAAAAAATTCTATGCGAAATGACTGGTCACTGACAGATCCAACAGGACCTGCTACACAGCTGTCTTTAGAGGCTGCTTGCCTCATTCAACATCAACCTGTCAAAGGTTAACAGGAATTTCTAGCTTTCTGTGGAGTGCTTGTTCTTCCCACACAAGCCACCCCTGCATTTCCAAGGTTCTAAAATACACAGAGTAGCAGCTGTTTGCTTTAGAAATATAGTCTAAAAACAGAGCTTTCTATAAATAAGACCACTTCTACTATTAGTCACTCTATTTTTGTTGCACAACAACCTGTGAAAGTCTTATCTTTAGCAGCTGTTTCACACTGACTACCAGGTACTGTAATTCAAAACTGATTTCATGCAAAAAAAAGAAGTGAAGAATGAAGCTTTTAAAGCACTGCAGTACCATTAATGAAATGGATAAACAGATTTCTTAGTGGGCTGAAATCAAGGCAAACTATGTGACAGCAAGAGTTATCCTTGGTTTCAACCTATGAGCTACTCAAGCATTATTTAGCCTCAGGAACCAATCATCCAAACACCAAGCAGGCTCTACTAATTCTGTTGTGCAGCATTGAGATGTTCAATAGGTTTTCAGTTTTTTCATCAGAAGCTTGAGGTGGATAACACAGTCTTCTAATTCAAGTATGTACCAACATTCACAAGGAGCCCACAGTGGCATAGTTATTATCCCTTTCATTCACACAATAAACCTTCGAGAGGGTTAGGTTGTAAGAAAATGACAGGCATAGAGTCAACAAACTTTATGGCTGAGTGGGAATTTGAACCTCAGGCTCTTAATTAATTGATATACTTGTATAAAAGTTTGGATTTTAAATACTTCCAGAAATAAATATATACCACAATGGCTATTTATCGTAGCAGAGAGTTTTGCAGCTAAATTGATCCAAGTTAGTTTTTTATTAATTGAATTTATATACCGCCCTATACCTGGAGGTCTCAGGGCAGCTGGGTAAACATAAAACTGTTAATGTATGTTTGCTTAAACTGGGCATGAATTTTAATCTCTCTGAGACTGTATCCCAGTTGTAGGCTGGCTGACTAGAAGGAATAGCTACTGAACCCTCCCAGATCCATAGACACCCATCAGAGGACTTATATAAGGCTTGACACATGGGGTTCCTGCATTGTACAGACCATTACATTCCAGCAGGGGTTTTGTCTATTAGCAGAGGAAGCTAGTCCTGGATTACTCTTGGCTATGAAAGATTCATGAGTCTGCTACAAGCATTATTTCATTTGTACAGTCTTGTCAGAAACACAGATGGCACAGCTCTGGTAGGAGAGAATTTTCTGTTTGGGCTCCTTGTATTATTTAACCCAGCTTTGCAACTAATGCCATGGAAACGTACGGAGTTGCTATCGCTTTTCTTAAAGAGAGAGCGTATGCACTCATGAAACCCACCTAAAGCTAATTATGTTATTTGCAATATTAAAAGTTTACATTACTTTATTATAATACCACTGTAAAAATAGCTTGCCTCACTTGTTTTCAGCTAATATATGTTTAACTGCCTCAATCTTCTCTATATTCATATTGGGTAAGGAAACCATAGTCTGACAACATGAAAGTGGTATAAAAGAGTTGTCTTAAATAGAATACAAAAGACAAACCCTATAGCTATAACCAGTGCTTTTTTCTATAAAAATGTTTAGGGGTACTCTCATTTTCCTACTCATATTGAAATACTGCCCCTCAATGAGGCCAAACTTAGACCCCTAAAATGTTTAGGGGTATACATATCCCCTGCGTCCCCCCCATAAAAAAAACACTGGCAGTAACAAAAAAAATGGCTTAGATAAATTTTGTTGTGCTTATTTCAAACCAATAACCCCTTCCCCAAACACATGTAAAAAGGATATTGGATGTTAATCAGCCAAAAGCCTGGTTGAAGAGGAACATTTTTGCCTGGCGCCTAAAGGTTTTTAATGAAGGCACCAGCTGAACCTCCCTGCCGGAGTATTCCACAAAGGTCCATTCTTCTGCTGCCACCCTCTGGACCTCTCATGTGGAGGAGGCACACGAAGAAGGGCATCAGAAAATGATGTCAGGGTCCAGGTAGGTTCATATGGAGAGAAGAGGTCCTTGAGGTATTGCGGTCCTGAGCTGTTTAAGGCTTAATTGGGCAAACCAGCACTCTGCATTGTTCCTCCGGTGAGCAACCTGGCCACCGAATTCTGCACCAGCCAAAGTTTCTGAACTGTTTTCAGAGGCAGTCCTACATAAAACTTTGATTTGACAGTCACTTTGACGAGTGGATCTGCACAATGCACCAATGTGAACTGCAACTCATTAATCAGTGCCACATTTATGAAAGAGACATAGATTTCTTCAGAGTTGAGTCCCCTGACATAAAAAGCTCTTTGCCACTCCGTATACAGCTCTTAGCATTTGATAACTCCAATGTGACAAGAAGCTTGAATGGAAGAATGATTGACAGTAAGGGAGTGGAATGGAATGCTGGGCGGAGCTAAGAGTGAGTGACAGTTTGAGTGCGGCTGCTGGAAAAAGACAGTTGGAATGTGGGTGCTTTTAACAGCTGTATAGCAACATAATTCAGCAGTTCCCCATCACTACATCTCCAGGCTGGGGGAAACAGAACCTGTTTTATCTGCTGCATGACAGGCAGAAATATAGGGAGCCTGTCAGGAAAAAGTGACAAACCTAGACCCTAGTTCGTAATGCCCTACTCATGCAAAGGGGTCTCTATGCAGTCAAGGGGTAGCAGAACCATGCCACAGGTCTCATCTGTGAGGTTTACCCTGCCTTGACATCTAGGTATTACCCATGGATGTCTGCATAGGTGCACACCAGGGGCAGAGAAAACAATTTAATCTTGGGGAACATCACAGACCAACTCTCCCTTGATTACATGGAAACCCCATCATGCGAGTAACACATAAAGAAGGCTACGGATTAGGAAGATTCTGCAGCATATACTCTTAAATAGTCTAAAAATTTGCTTATCCAGGAAGAGTACAGCACTGCCATTCCTGTGTATGTCTTATCTCTTATGAGCCCTGATGTCTTCTGTCTGTATTACTGAAGATGAAGTCCAGTCTTAGATGAATGGAAGCATAAAGAAGTCTTGCTTTCTTTAAAGCATGTTGTAAATTCAGAACTATGTGTGTGTGTAGTCCTGGGATAAGTGGACTGATGAGGCAGATTCACTTAGGCGAGAAGGCAAGAGAAAAACAGAGGTAGTAAAGTGCCTACTCTAGAATCATATATGAGCTCTCATGAGCCTTAAATTATTCAGTCCTAGTCCAGCTCCCTGTTGTCAGCCAATAGAACTGTTGCCCAAATAAATCTTGTTTAATTAATGGTATGAAACCTAGTCAATTAATTGTTTGCTTGATTGATTAAATTAAATTAGTTTGCATATGAAAAATAGGGGAAATACTTTTGTTTTTAGATGATGCAGTGGGTATAATCTTAGAAAATGCATTCTGCCTCCTCAGAATGAAGGGAATGCTTGCAGTATGTAGGTAGTATAAATATTAAAAATAAAGTTTTTACTTTTTTAAAAAAATCATCTGCTTGATAAATCAAGGGCACCTTTCTGATTGACATAAATATGTTAGTTGATAAATGGATCTACTAGTTAAATATTTCTGCCACAACAACATCTAAGCTTGATGTTCTTCTAGCAACACTTCTATATCTATTTTCTCTTGCTGTCCCCAAGAGATTGCTTTAACTGCTGTTCATTTAACCTCTGCTTTTACAACTCTCCTGATAACAAGGGCATGACCCAACGTTTTAGGAACACAGCACCAGAGGACACTATGAAGCAGATATGAAATAACAACTCGTTACCTGAACCTGATAATTCTCTGCATGTTTACTTGGGAGCAAGCTCCATTAAGCTCAGTGAGATTTAGTTTTGAGTAAACATGTACAGGACCAGACTGCATGTACAAAAGAAACAACATGTCTTATTGTATTGGCATCTGTTTAGTAAAAAAAAGAACCTTCAAATGACAAAAAATGAGGTAGACTGTAAAGAAACTTTTTTTTTGACTAAAATAATATGTGTTGATTACAAAGACTGATCCTACAAGGATTTACTTGGTTCAATGTTGCTTACTTCCAGGTAATGTGAACTGTGACCTTAAGCATATTTAATAACCTGAAGCATATTTATTTAGTTTATATACTTTTTAGAGACCCCATTCAAATGGTGCATTACCACAATGCATAAGAAAATTCATATTTCTTATGAAAATTAAAATACTGAAAATAAAATTTAAAACAAACAGCAAGAGCTAAACGATCAAGTGAGCTTCACTAAAAGGATGATGAGAAGCTAAGGATGATGTCTGAAAGGAAATCAAAGAGAGGGTCATATGCACTTCATGGAGAAAGAAACTACAGCTGAGGAGTCAGTGCTGGAAAAGGTTTGTCCCTGATACCCACCAGCAAGATAGCTCATTAAGGGAAAGCAACAGAGCAGGGCCTCTACTGTCAGCCCCAACACCTGGGTAGGTAAAAATGGTACTTCAAATTAATTGGTCCCAAACCATTTAAAGGTTAAGAACATAACATTAAACTGAGCTTGAATATGAATAGACAGCCAATGCAACTGGCAGGGAATAGGTGTACATGATCAAAGCGCTTGACTCCCAAAAGCATCCTGGTGGCTGTTATATGCTATTTGGATCTTCAGAGACAGCCCATAGTAATCTAACCAGAAACACTTCTGAAGTTTAGCCATACAAGATATCTGGATCACTGGGTCACACACCACAATTACCCAAGAGTCCAGTGTCGCTGTCAAGCATTAACCCACATACCTGTTTGGTAAGAGTTTCCAAAATATTCTGGAGTTGTCATCTTCAAATCACATTTTGGAGTTGTCCTGGAATGGCCCTACTTATTTCCCTTACACTACCATTTAAGTGTACGTGGTTTAATTAAGCATGGTCATTTGTGTCATATACTATTGAGCAAAGCTGCATGTTATCAACAAAGTTATTATATTTAGAGCACACACTGAATAATGCCAAAAGCAAGAACCTTTCTAGGTGCGGTTGTCACCCATTCGTTATGTCAAATCCAGATACAGTCTGTATTGAGCGCCTGTTGTAGTGTTATTGCATCTTCGCAGCACTAAATGCTTTATTTTTACTAATTGGAAAATGCATAACATATCTACTGCAAAAGCCTGGGCAGCTACTGATTACTGTGTACTTTGCTATGGCCACACAACTTCTGTGTTTTTGTGTGTGTGGCATAGTCTCTATTGGACCAACAGCCTCTACACTGTAATAAAAACAGAAGGTAAAAGGTAAAGGACCCCTGGATGGTTAAGTCCAGTCAAAGGGACTATGGGCTGCGGTGCTCATCTCGCTTCAGGCCGAGGGAGACGGCGTTTGTCCGCAGACTGCTTTGTGGGTCATGTGGCCAGCATGATTAAACCGCTTCTGGCACAACGGAACACCGTACCGAGTAACAGAACACATGAAAAAGCTGTTTACCTTCCTGCAGCAGCAGTACCTATTTATCTACTTGCACTGGTGTGCTTTTGAACTGCTAGGTTGGCAGAATATTGGGCTAGCTGAGCCTTTGGCCTGATTCAGCAGAGTTCCTCTTTGGTTCTCAAGGCAGCTTACATGTCACATTAAAAAGCACAACCCTATGCATGCTTATACAGTGATTAATCCCATTACTGTATGTTCAGTGGAGCACAATACAACAACCATTGCACACAGGCATAGGATTGTGCTGTCATATTTTTTTAAGTGCCACAAGGCATTGCTGCATTCGGCCACCTCACATTTTATGTCTTTGGTGGCTCTCTTCTCTTGGTGCACCTCAACACTGGAATACCCCTCCTGCTATGTGTTTTGTTTCTTGATTATTGTTATTATTACCCCTTGCCATAGGAAGAATCCCACGCACGGAAAGCGCGGGGGGCGCTTGCCCATTTAAGCAAAAAAGCCAGCGCTAGAGCTCTCGTCCATCCTTATTACAAAGGATAGGAAGAGAACCGGAGGGAGAAGCGTCTGGGCGAGCGGGAAAGTAGCGAACAGCGGCCCCTGGGGGGCGACTCCCTGACGGGAATTTGGGGAACGCGGCGCGCGAATAGACAGAGCGAACGGGCGAGGCGGCGGGGGGCTGTCGGGGAAGAGGGAACCGCTTGACCGGACATTCAACCAAATTTCGGCCGCGGGGGGGAGGCTGGGACGGTACTGGGACAAAGCGGCGATAAGCAGGCAACTGCCCGAAGCAGTCCGGGCAGCGGAATAGGCGGCGAGGTCGCCTCACGTGGGGCCACCTCGGGGGCAACAAAGCCTGACTCGGTTCATATGGCGGGAAAACAAAAGGCTGCCCCCCCCTCGAGCGCGGGGCGAGAGCCAAGTACCTTTTCTCCGGTCACGACGTGCAGCCCTTCCCGCACTTTGGCGAAGGACCCCTCGCCCAACTTCCTTCCGATCAGGTAATTGCCCACGCGCTTGGTGTGCTGGAACTCGCGGAGCCGCTCCCGGGACGCGGCCGCGTTGACCCAGGCGGCCAGGAACGTCCCCTCGGGGCTGAGGGGGGGCGTCGTGGGCTCGTCGCCGCCGTCGCCGAAGCTCGCCGCGGGGGGCTCGCTCAGGAGCCCGTCGCCAGCAGCCGCCGGCATCCTGCTGCTGCTGCTGCTCCCGCCGCCGCAACTCGGTGCAATCAATGCCTTCTCTTTGCAACCCTTGCTGCGCCAAAGAGCTCCTGAGAAACTCGCTTCTTTCTTTCTCTAGCTCCTGCTTCTGCTCCCGCTACTCCTCAAATTCAAGTCTGCAGCACCAGCCTGCCAATGTGATCGGCACCCGCGTGTGCACGTGGGGACCCGACGGCGGCTGGCTGGCTGCTGAGGCGCACTTTGCCTCTCAGGGAAATGTCAAGCAAAGAGCAAAACAAGCAAGCAATGAAAAAAGCAAAATAACAGAAAAGAAACCCGCTTCGCCAGTGGGGTCTGGCCGGCTTGGTGGAGATCTAGCGCGATTCGGCCGCCACGAGGAAGTGGCCCCGGATCACAGCCGCGCAGCTTTGCAGCCAGGTCCGGCGAGCTGCGAGGCTGAGGCTGTGCACGCCTCACGTTGAAGAGGGAGCCTGAGCCAGCTCCCGCAGATCAATTGTCTCCAGTCTCCGTGGAAGCCCGTTGGCTGCCTTCCCCTCATTGGATCTGTCGATCACTTTTCCCCTCCCTCTCGTACCGCGCCTGGCTGCCTCCTTCTCCTGGTGCTGCTGCTTGAGGCTCTCTTCCCCTCTTGCGGGGAGGGGTCTGGGGAGGCGGGGGGGGGAGGAGAGAAACGTTTCATTCAGGCTAAATTGGCAGTAATTTAATCCGATCCCTCTGCTGAGAACAGATGCAATGAAAACTCGACAGCAGTCGTGGCCCTTTAGAAATTCGGGCAGCTCCCCCTGCCCCCCCCCCGTGTTTTTGGTGTAATGCAGATTCAACCCTAAAGCCAAATCGCATCGAGGAGCCCCCTTGCCAGCGAGTTATTTACGCCTTCAATTCACGAAGATGCTGCATTTCTCTCTATAATTAGGGCAGTCAAGCCGTGACAGGCGCTCTGCGTGACTCCTTTCGGAGCAAAGCCTGGTTTATTTTTCTCAAGATCTCTTTTATTCCTTCCCCGATAATATTTTTCTTGTGTTGCTTTGTGCCCCTTTTGTGCTTGAAAGCACTTCACTTTGCTTTCACTTCTTTGCGGGTGACATGTGCTCCAGAGCTCAGATCGTGACAGCCCTGGCAATAAAAGCATAAGCGGTCCCCACCTCCCCTTTCTGTTGTAAGAAATTGAGGCTGAAAATGCAGTTACCTTGGCAGCTTAAAGCAAAGGAAAGCCCCGCCCTATATTATACATTATTTTTATTTAGAGCTGCAGCCTCCATTTTATGTTCTCAGCCCTCTTGCTTTTAACAATTCCCAACCTCAGCTTTAGGAAGCATTACATCCTTCATTCTAACTGCTATCTTAAAACGCTCCACACTTCCACAATGCAACTTGAGTAAATATAACTACATACAGGGACTATGAATAGTTGGGGAAAGTCACAACTATTGCTTGTGCGAGACAAACTTATAAATAATATCAATGCCCCCCCCAGGGCAAATAGAGACAGCCAATCATCCCCTCCATGTGCACAAATCACATCCTAGGCCTTTATTGAGAGTCTGCCAGGCCTCAGGTGCCTTTTTGGGGGGAGATGCAGGAGGCAGGACTGGCAGGCAGGTCCCCCTTTCACTACTGGACTTCTGCTTGCGGAGCTTTGGATGCCATTTATAATTAATTGACAATTTGCTGTCCTTTAATGGTACCCCCAGATCTGCTACCTGCCATCTCCATCAGAGCGCATTTCGACGAAAAAGGGAATTGCTGGCATCAATAGCCCTAATCCTTTCTGCAAATGTTTTAATTGCAATACACTCCGTGTGACAATTACCCTGATCACTTGCTGAAATTACTAATTCCATAGTTTAGAAAAGCTTTTTATGTAGAAGTATACAGGAAAAAAAGCTGAAATCATATGCTTTTGTTTACGGGAATTAATCCCTCTGAACTCAGTGTGACTTATTTCTGAATAAACACCCGTAGGATTGGGCTATATAAGAATCTAATTTTGTTCCCCCAACGTAGTCTAATGGTAGGTCTGATGGTAATGTAACCTTAGCTTGTGTGCTGATACTGCAAAACTTTGCATACACCAATAGTACTATCACTAAGTCTTTTAATTGTGATATTTTAATAAGCCAATCACCCTACATCGTATCCCAAGGCTGAATATGGTTCTCATTACCTGTTTCCATATTCAGCACAGCACAGTAGCCTGAATGAAGTTTATATGCCTATGAACCCCAGAAAAGGCTTATCCCCTCCATAAGGTACCTTCTCTACAAATCTAGTTCATTTCTCTCCCAGCTATGTGCAGGTTTTTCAGTTGCTATTGACCCCCTGAAGATTCAATAGACTGAAGCACTACTTTCCATCTGCCTTGTGTTCTTGTGTTCTTTATCCCAAGCCTCATATAGTGCACTTAGATCTGTTTCGCATTGGTTATAATTTGTTCATTGCCAGCCTCTACAGGGATCCATAGGGCTAGTTCCAGATCCATAAACAGAGTGAGAGCTTAAGAGTACATCACAAGGCAATAATAAAAATAGATAAACAGGTGTTTTATTTGCTTCATGTTTTTATTGTGGCCAGTTTATTTAGCATAGCTGTTACATCAAAGAAAGACATCATCTGGGCGTATTCATTGATCCAAGGGTAATATGTTAACTTCAACCCTAGAACATTAAAGGAAGTGTTTTCCAGTTATTTTAAAAACTGGGATTTCCGCAGGGTGTTGAGTGTGTTGTGAGAACAGGGATCAAAAGTCAATTGCCTGCCCAGTCCCAAACCAGGACTGTAGAGAGAGTGGTCTGAGGATAAACATGTAATGGCATCAGTGTTTCTGTTCTCTAGCATAGCATTCATGGGGTTCAGTTATTTGCCATAATTTTTTAAGAAAAGATAAGTGCAGTATGATTGTCTTGAAGATTTTGGAAATTTAAAAAACCATTTCGCAGATAAATACACCTTAGCTAATGAAAAATGGAGCCCTTCTGTGTTCCAAAGGAAAGTGAAAAAAAGCCCATTGGACCATTTTCATGAAACAGATCAGTGGCACCGAAACAGGCAGATTCAAACGTATATCAGATGGTGGGAGAATGTTGACTTTGGTAAGTATTCATACACACACTATATTAATAGTTAAAAATTCTAACTCTAAATATGTGGCCACTGCTTCCATTTTATTAATTCAAAAAGACTACACAAGGGTGATGTCTTTAAGAATATAGTGTTTGTATGCGTACCCAAAGAGGCGGCCAAACTGATTTTGGGAGCAATCCAATGCAGAAGAAGCTGGCATAAAGCAAGCCAGTGTTACAAGATAAAGTTACACCAGATCCAAAACCCATTCAGTAATGGGGCTGCTGCTCTCTCCAAGTCTGGCAGAGCAGCGGCCGATGTTTGGGTCTCAAATTTTAGTGGTGCCTAGTGCAACACCAAAATTTTGTGCCCCCCACCTCTCCCCTTCCATTCTACATCATAGTTACAGTTCCCCTGAAGCTCCGTACCCAGTGCAACCAAAGCAGTCACTCTCCCCTAAATCAGTCACTGGAAAGAGGGCAAACAAATCTTTAAAATGGTTTTGTTATTAGGTCACATGACCAAGCTGAAAAACCTTGGGATCCAACCTAAGTCCCCTTCTGTGGTCCCATTCCTGCCACACCTCCAGAATGCCCCTTTTGGGGGACTTACATTGGGCTCGGCTCAGCAGGCTAAGCTGGGATGAGCAACTTATGTTGGCGTATCTTCAGCTGAGATGAGGTTGGGGAGTTAACACCCTCTGAGCCAGGAATCAGCCAGTTGATCCAGAGATCCACTGTACCCCGGTTGCTCATCCTGGAAGATATTGCCATAGGATTGCCCCATTAATTAGGTAATTCACTTTGGGAAACACATTTCATACAAATATATTAAAGTATCTTTGATGTAAACCCAGAGTGTATGATTTAGTCTGTTAATCTCTAGCCCTTAAATTTCTAGATTTTGACTCAACACACACCCCAGGAGTTCTATAGTTAAAATGAAAAAGCAAAGAAGGCAAGACAGCCTTACTGTATGCCTCTTTGCAGCTGAATTACAGCAGCGATTCAGCCACTGGAAATCACCTTAGAAACTGGTGATAAATATAACATTTTGACACCCTTAATAAATGTGGTAGGAAGAGTGAATGCGTGAATGCTGGCAAAAAGAGGGGTACCAAATTTGATATGTATTTTTTAATTGCACCCAGTACCATTATTACAGCTGTGTATGTGCGAGGGGCTGTTGATTAGAGACCCAAGCATGCAAGTAAAGCCAAAGCTATGAAGGGCATAGGAGCGATAAAAGCAGAATTTCCCATACAAAATTAATGCGACACTCTCCCCTCCCCAAATGACCACAGGTTTTTAGTATAGAGTAGACTAGGGGCACGTAAATGTTAGCAGCTTTAAATGCCATTTCCCCCACTGCATTTCAGGTTGCCTTTTACATTGCTGTGCATATCACTACCTGGCTTGTTTTCTTGCGCCCACAGCCCCAACTCCTATTCAATGCAGCAGTCATCTACGCATGCACAATGGATGCCTAAAATGTAAACACCTTGCCTTAACTGTGGCTTATGGTTTCAAATGGTTTGGAAGCTGTTTTGAGGAAAAGCACATAATAAAGAAACTACAGAGTAAAGATGAATTGTGGCTAACCTCTTGTGTACTGAGGTTCAAACACCAGCAGTAGGAGAGCACTGGAGTCTTGAGTAAATACACAGCCTACCTTGCAAGCAGAAACAAGCTAAGTACATTAGGATGCCATTTATTTTGCAATAACATGGTGTTTGAACTCAGATACGTGATGAAACAGATACAGGCAAAAGGGCATTGTTGGGTACTTAGAAGATGCGGAGGCATAAAATTTGCATATGCTCATTAATATGTATAGGTGCAAATTTAGGCCAACTTTCAGAGGAGAGAAAACAAACTGGCTCTTGCTCTCAGGGCATACTCTCTAAGCTGTTGGAACTTATTATCACGTAAGTGTATAGGAGTGCAGCCCTGTGGCACCATCTTGTGCATGTTTATGCAGTATTAAATCCTGAGCTCAGTGCGATTTATATTTAGGGTTGAATTAGTCATTATATTTAGGGTTGAATTGCAACTTAAGTGCTCTTTTTTTTTACAAGTTCTCTGATAAAATTCTTAATGCATATACTAACCCAGTTAAAATATTTAGTATTAAATGAAGAGGATGTATAAGATACTGTGTTAGTTAAGCAAAATGATTAATATATGCAACCTTTTCCCATTGTATTAATCTGGAGCTCTAAAATTGGAAACTTCATTTTTTCTGTCTTCCTTTGTATACAGAGAGACTTGCAAATGAGTTTCAACAATAATCGTGTGGCATATCACAGCTTACTTGATGCAGTTGGGTCTCTGTGCGATTCTCATCACTAATGAAGACACCAGAGATTAACTGCTAAGGCATTCAGTTATGAAGAACATGTTTTTATTATCAAATGTGAAGACTTCTGAATGCACGGAGGAATCAATATACTTTGAAATAAAGCCTGATTATGAAATAAAGAGTATAAAAACAAACTT